TTACAGAACAGCGTTGGGTTGCATTTTTAGAAACTTTTGTTTTCGCTTCAGAATATATATATATATATAGATTGAAAAATTGTCATGAAATTTAAATTTAAATTAGGATTTAATCAGTGTGATTTATATCTTATATTCTCGTGTGAACTGTTAAGAGCAATAAATAATCTTCATTCTTCATAAAAAAAAATTAAATTCAGTTTCATTCATCTTTCTTAATTTAAAACAATTCCTAAGTTTAAAGAAACACAGTAAATCTTGGCTAAACAGGAAGTAAATCTTGGCTAAACAGGAGGGTTCGGAACAAATTTGAATTACATTTTTTTTATTTCTGCCCTGGAGGCGCATACAGGGATTTGTCCTGGGGTTTATAAATGGAATCATTACAATATGAACAAAAATGATTGAAAAACCTTAAAAAAAAATTAAAATACGAGGGATGTTCAATAAGTTTTGCGAAACTTTTTTTAGAGATTCTTGTGGACGTCTCAACCCATTAGTTCTTTTTTAAAAGTTCATTATATTTATACCGGTTCAATTTTCTGACCTGAACCTATGGTGATCAGATAATCTGTTGGACGCAATCAGCTTTCTCCCGAAGCCCGTAAACATGTGCTTGTGATATAGCCTAAATATTTTATCTATTTAGGAGAAAATTCTTTGCCATTTTTCAAATCTTGCCCCATTTCAGATGCCAAAATCATCAAACCCTCGGGAATTTAGTCCGAGAAACTTTCAATTGTGTCGATTTTTTGCGGGGTTTTTGTGGATTTTTCCTGCTCAGACATTTCCTCTTTCTGTATTACATTTTTTCCCTTTTGTCCATTTTGTTTTTCTCTAATGAATTTTGGATCATTGGATCATGTCAAAGGTGTTTGCTTAATATTTGGAAATTTTTAGGCCCGAGCATCCTAGTTGTCCTCTTTCCTGGGTAGGTATTAAAAACGTTCCTGTGCTGTGATGACGGAGATACAATGTTTGATGAGTAAAGTCCATTCGGAGAAGGCAAACGGGATGGATACAGAGAGATTTGAAGAGAAAATTTACAGGGCTGAGACGTCTATAACATTTAAAAATGTTTTTTCGCAAAAACTTATTGAACATACCTCGTATATATAGCTCGACTCTAGTATCTACACCCCCCCCCCTCANTAAAAGTAAACCTAATTTACAATTAGCTTTCTCTGGGATATCATCGTTTTCAGATTGGTTGCTTATTTGCTGAATATGATCTGTTTAAACCTACTACTTTTATACAAAATTGTATATATATTAATTTTCGTATATATTTGACACAGTTTTATATCAATTTCTCGAGACCTGAACATCAGATAAAACTTTCATGGGTCGCAATCAAGAGCTAAAGTGATTAGCTTTCAGCCTATACCCCCTTTCATTTTTCCTTTACTGTCCCTTTAAAAGAGTTGTTAAGAAGAACAAAAATGTGTTGAACTTAATATATATACTAGAAATTCAAGGCGCTTCGCGCCCTTCTTTCTAGGCTTTTAGGGCTCTTCGCGCCCATCTTCTATTTAAATTGTGAACAAGTTATTTTTGAAACAAAGAAGAAAATTTTTTTGCGGATTTTCAAGAATGTAATTTTTTTTTACAAAATTAAAAACCTTTAAACACATTTTTTAAAACTTTTATCATAAATAAGCCTTCCCTGTGGTTACGTGATGTCCCACAAAAAATTTGGGCCCGATCGGTTCAGCCGTTTGACGTTTATTGGATACAAACAAACAAACAGACAGACAAGCAAAATTCATTCAAAGATAATGTATATAATCTATATATAAATTTAGCCTGTCTGGGTGGGTGTTTGTTTGTTTGTTTGTTTGTATCCAATAAACGTCAAAACGGCTGAATCGATCTGGCCCAAATTTTGTGTGGGACCTCATGGGACCGCAGCCAAGGTTTGTGAATGATCAAATTTCAAAAATGTGTGTTTAAAAGTTTTTTAATTTTGTAAAATTTTGAAAATGCGCAAAAAATATTTTGAAATCCGTAAATTTTTTAAAAATTTGTTATACTATACAAAGAGAAGATGCTCACAGATAAAGCCACAATTAAAAGTTGAAATAGAAGATGGGCCCAGCCAAATAGGTTGTCAACCTATTTGGGCCCAGCCTAGTCTGATAAATTTGCCTTTCTCATACACAACTAGAGGAGCAACGAGGTCACAAAATTGTACCAGAATATCAATTAGATTATAACTTCTCCTCCTGGTTCCTACTTTTTTTAAATCGTTCGTTCCTTTCCGTTTGTTTCCCGTGAAAGTCTGAAAGAGCGATTGTTCCCCAGGAACGACGCCCAGCCCTACTCCTGGCTAGTTTGCTGTGATACAGTAATGAACTTCAGAAAGAAGTTTTCTATTGTAAATGAAATATAATTATAATTTAAATAATTTAATTAAAATTTCAATTATGTTTGATTTGGATTAAAAATTAAGATAATCCAACTGAGTAAACATGATCTGTAAATATAAACAGGGTCCACATGTTGTTTATTTTATTATACTGGTTCTTGTCAGATTTATGAGAATATTTCATACATATATATTTTACATATAAATAAATATATAATGGGATCCAGTTTCATCTAATTATGCAAACTTTGTAATGATGATCTAATTTTACATGACTGTATACAATACAAATACACCCCAATGTAAATTCATCAATTAGTGCCCGAGAATTAGTTGAGCTCGTTGAGCTTGATAGCTCCATGGTTCAACCACTTCTTCTAATGTTTAATTCGGCCATTTCATGTTGTAACAATTCTTTTTAGATTGTCTGACCTCCTATTGATCGATTTGCGCTGAAAATGAAATTTCTTAGAATTATATAACTCCAAATCATAGAGAATAGAATATATATTAGAGTGGAATTTACTAGAAAAAATTGTAAAACGGCCATTTTGTTGTACTTTTTCCATACTGCAGGTGTATGTCACATATTTGTGCTCTATAACCTTTTGGGCCCTGGAATATCATTTTATAGAAAATCTAAAATTAATATTAAAAGAAACCCAAATTATGACCAATGATCATTTCATATAAACTCTATGCCTTTCACTTTACAAACGATGATTTTCCGTTATAACTATAAATCAAATGATGTTTTTATTCACCTAATTCATTATAAAGTTTATTTAACAGTTTAAAAAATTCGAACTTGAAACTGTCAATACACGTTTATAGATGCAAGATGAATATCGAAGTATAAATAATAGTGACATGAACAAAAATGTTATTAAAAATCTATTAATATTTATGTCAACATGAATATAGAATATAAGGTTTTCACTATAAAAATACATTACAAATGTTATAACTTAAACGAAAGGGACTAAAGTGACGGCCAATGCTTAGGATCCGAACAAAAACCGAAATAAAAATCTTTTGCTCTTAAAACTGAACTGTTGAAAAAAAGAGAAAATATCCGAAATATCCTTATCACTGAATGGTTCATCAAGTTTTAGCATAAAAATAACAAAAAAGATAAGAAAATAGTTCAAAAATTCTTCGTTCGTGAAATAAATCAGTAAATCTTAAAGAAATGTTCATGAACTCGACCCGGATAAAGATTTTTTATTGTTTAAGTAAGCAGTACAGTGTGATCTGAGATTACTTAAAAATAAAACATTCTTCAGTTAAACTAAGATTTGTTTTAAAATAAATAAAAACTTGTTTGATTAAATTCAACAATAAAATGTACATATTTAAGCATAACACTGTTTCTAAAATTAAGCTTTAAACCACTTCCAACTGAAGTAAAATGCAGGAAAGATTGAAATTCTAAATGTTTTTTATCATAATTCATCTTATTAAAGGGACAGTAAAAGGAAAATGAAAGGGGGTATAGGCTGAAAGCTAATCACTTTAGCTCTTGATCGCGACCCATGAAAGTAATATCTGATGTTCCTGTCTCGAGAAACTGATATAAAACTGTGTTAAAATTATACGAAAATTCATATATGTAAAATTTTGAAAATCTGAAACTTAAATCACGTGACCAGAACTATCACCAATGGCAGAGAAGTATACTGGTCACGTTTCTCCGCCTGTATCACGTGACCACTTTACTGCACTGCCATTGGTGGAATTTCTGGTCAAGTAATACGGATGTAAAAATAATATTATGAATGAAATCTATTGAAAATAGAAATAAAAAATATAAAAGAAAACCTAAGGAATTGAGTTTTTGCCACAAACTAAAATCTTCTGATTCCAATATCTTTGCAATCTTTTGATGCAAACCTTTGATTTTTCAAACTTAGATTATTTTATCTATAAGTATTAATAGTTTGCAGATTAAATATTGCTTGTTCTCCACTCATTTTTAATCTCCAGATTAATTATCCGATCAGAATTAAGGATATCCCATTCAAAAGTTCCCATCTCTGGATTAAGGATATCCCATTCTAAAGTTTTCAGCTCAGGATATATATATATTGTTAAAAAATCGTCTAAACCCTCTCTATAAGTATCGTTAATGTAAAGAAAAGTTTGTTATACCTTTTCACCCAATAAGGGAAAATAATTGTTTTTGGTTTCATACAATTTTGAACACAAAGTATCTAAGAAGGCTATGCCTAAATACTTGCCAGTTTGTATGCATGTTAATTTTCCCTTTTCCTAAAAAAAAGTCTCCCACACCACACCTATGTTTAAAGAAGTTGAAGAGAATTATGTTTAAAATACATATATGTATTTTAAAGAGAACATTTGTAACTTTTCAAGTAAATATTTCCGAATATTTTTTATTCTGTTGATAACATTTAAAAATGATATTATTAATTGAGAATTCATTCTGGAACAAACCGGATTATAAGATTATTGTATAATTTAAATATATATTGTTATCATTTATCATTTATAAGATTGGTTATAACAGAAAATCCCATTTAAAAAGGTTTGAGGTTCCCTGAACCTGGGTACTAACCCCCCCTCCATGGGGAAAGCATCTCTCTACTGCTGGCGTGTATAAACGTCACTAGTGTTCTCCGGTCTCTACAGTCCAACACGAGTCTTCTTTAGTTAATTCTCACCCTCCATTCATACAGGACATCTTCCACCCACATCCATCCAGACCCTACACCACTCATCCAACTCATAAACAGTTCAGTCATCCAACTCTTAATATTTAGTTATGCTCAAAACTCTCCCCGAATTACAGGTATTTAAATATTTACAGTTGCCATTTCTTCTTTAAATATGTATTTTTCTCGACATTTTGGCAAAGTTAGACAATAGTTTTCTCATCAAGCATGGATTTGGGGCCAAGTGACTTGATTAGGAGAACATGAAAGAAGTAAAGAGCANGTCGGGGAGGTTAGCTAAAAATATAGATTGATTTATTTTATTTTGAATGTCTACCAATGGTTGTGATGTGCCAGGATCGATGCAGGAGGCAGGGAACTTTCAAACCAGAGTTTCCAAATCCCTCTTCTTCACAGACAAAATGGTTTCCCCCCTCCTTATTCCATGGCTCCGGCTCGATATTCCGATATTATGGAAAATAATCTTGATTAACGGACCATATCATTTTTTATATTTTTATTTGCGAAGAGCTTGATACTATTGGTATTTAAAGAACTTATAAAAACAAAATTACAACATTTGCTCCAGGTAGAAAAATTGAGCAATAAGCAATGCTTTTATTCTTTTTAAGTGCAAAGCGAACCAATATGCACACGCTCTCACACTAAAGAACTCTTGCCATGGAGTCCAGTTCTTTCCACAAGCTCTTTTTTATCCCTATATCTTTGGAACCTAATGTCGTCATCTTTGATATTTCAAATTATCTGTTATGAAATCTATATATAAATATAGCTTGTCTGTCTATCTGTTTGTTTGTATCCAATAAACGGTCAAAACAGCAGAACCGATCAGGCCCAAATTTTGTGTTGGACCTCACGTGGCCCCAGTGAAGGTTTACATGGCCAATCAGACTTTAAATATGTATAATCTTAAAATATTTTTATCTTAAATTATTCTATTTTGTAAAATTCTGTACAAAGAGAAGATGCTCATGCAGATAAAGCCACAATTAAAAGTTGAAAAAGCCTAATAATCTAAGATTTTAAAATCAAATGTTTTTACCATCAGGTTGCAAAGATTTAGGGATTACAAAATTTGAGTTTTTCTTTTAAACTGTAGCTAAAAACAAGCGTGCTGTTGTTTGGAAATTTACGTTTTTAGCCTATGGATACAAAAACGTATTTGCATGAGTTAAGAAGGTAACGTACTAAAGTTTATCCGGCCATGAAATATTATAGAGGCATAATTTGCCGGTCATGAAATATTATAGAGGCATAATTTGCCGGTCATGAAATATTATAGAGGCATAATTTGCCGGTTATGGTTTTCTTTATTACATTGTCAATGTACGCTATAAAGACTAACCTCTTTAACAAGTGTATTTAAGCTTTTAAGGTTTACATTTTTGTGTCTGAAACTTTTCAGTTTACATATACAATGTACATAAAAAATAAATGAATGGTACTTTAGCTTAAGGAAAAATTCATTATTTAAAATCAAGGCTTCTTGTCCCTCGGCCTCATCATGATATTATGAAGATGAATAAAAATTAAATTTCTAATATTTTGTTTAAAAGAGTTTATTTATTGACATTGAGACATTGAGACATTCTTAGTGAATTTTTGAGTACTCAAAAAAACCCTTCTACTTTGACTAAAAATGACAAATATCCTTGCTTAAAACAATGTTTTTGAAACTCCCAAAGATGGCTATTATATTCCAAAATAAATGGATGAATTTTTTCCTTTTCACCAACTTTTCAAACTCTAACTAGATTTTAGAAAATTATGAGAAATAATTTCTTTTATATTCGTCATTGCACCCCCCTTTCAGAAGAAAGGGGGGTACACCTGCACCCTTGCACCCCCCCCCCTGGTTACGGGCCTGGTTCCCATAACATAAGCACAAAAGAAAAAAAGAAAAACCAGACTTTAATCTTTCATTTGTTACTCCATTCTCAATATAAAATAGCTTTAAAAAATCATTGGTAATCTTCATAGCAATTGTTGTAACCTTTATAGTAGATTCTTAAACTTGGCTAACAATCCGCTCAAAATTTCTTAAATTTACGAACTTATGCACCCTTTTCGGTATTTTTAAAACTTTTTTTATTTACAAAAGAACGATTTAATTTTCTCAATTAATGAAACGCATAACAATCTTAAAATATTATTATCAATGTTTAAAAATCATATTGTACAGTATTGATGTATCATATTTTTAACAGTTCAAAGTCAAGTTTATATTTGTCAATCATCTGCTGAAAAAACATCAAATTTTGCGTCTCATATACCCCCCCCCCCCNAGTTTTCTCAAAACTAAAATTCGAAAAAAACTCCCTGCAATCTTGAGGATGAGTATACTGCAAACAGCTTACCCTTTTCCTGGCCATATATTTTGTAAATAATTTAAATTTGTCTCCATGTTAATTTTTAGTTTTTGCTATACGATGGCTCATCAGAATCGTATTATAATCTAATAAAAGAAGGGGAAAAGGATAATTGTCTCTCAAAATACAAAAAAAAATATTACAAACCCTTTCATTTCACAAGACAGAATGAACAAGATAGACAAAAAATTCCCAAATAGAGTTGATTTCAGAAAGCAGTCAATTTTTGCTTTAATTTGAAGAAAAAATTATTCTTTTCACAGATTTTAGGCCAATTTTCTCCTCTTTCTTTTTTCGTTTCCTTCTTTTAATATTTTTTCATTTTCTTCTTTTTTGTCTCAGACAGTGTGCCCCCACCTTCGGTAGTGTAAGGGGGGTACGTGCCCCTGCCCCCCCCCAGCTACGGGTTTGGCTTATAGAGTAATTAAACAATCGAAGTGGCTGGTCTATAGATGGAATAGATAGGATAGATAGGATATTTTGAATAGATGTAATCTACAAGGGGCACGTATTCAAGAATTTGTCTGAGGGGGGCTTATATTTTCTTTCCTTTCCGGGGGGGGGGCTCGACAGCCGCTGGGGGAACAAAAAACTTTAAAACCATAGATTTTATTGACCCAGGATGGGGGACATTATAAGCTTAAGCCCCCCGGCCCCCCACCTGAATCTCCTTCAAATCTGCTTTAAACCAGTTGCACCAGGTTTAAGATAAACATTTTCAGCTTGCAGCTTTATCAAGGGCATTAATAACACCCAGGGGCGTATTCAAGAAATTGTTTAGGGGGGCGGGACACTTAAACGCCACATGTGTACCATATACCCAATGTAAACGATCTCGACTAAATGCAATGAATAATGATCAGCTACCAGCAGGTTAGAAATTTAGTTCCTCATGTTTGTGCCATATGATTTAAAAAAATTAAAAATTGAGATTACCATATTTTCTTTACCTCTAACCCCACGAGGAAAAAAAACATTTCCTAAAAAAAACCCTCGGCTCTCCCCCCTAATTGCCGAAATCTTCTGGCCCGGCCCGCTAGCCCCATCCCCTCGCGCGCATCTCATCCCTCCCCTCCCAACGTACTCTATAATCTCTACTTCTTTGGTTGCTATGGGCGCTGCGTAAATTGCCTGGAGGTTCTTAAACTGGTTTCTCAGAAAATCCTCGTTAGTAAACTACGCAGACATACACTATTATTACTACAAAGTACACGGATACGGCTCTTCTTACTATTCTAATCAGTTCAGTTGTAGTTTAGAGACACTCGAGACACAGCTGTTGACTATCTTGGACTCAGTGGACAGTAGTTCGTGTAGTCAATAGTTGCGTGTGTGACACCGTTAAATTTTAGTTTTATAACCTCGTACTTTACGAATACGCATGGCTTTACATATAATACTGGAAATCATGCATTGTCCACGGATCAACATGTATTCAAACAATGAGATGCAAACTCCAATGAATTTAAAACTGTGCCTATTTTACTGTGAAATTTTCCGAAAAAATAACCAAATATAACATAAATCAACAGTGATTTGTGAATGATAAAAGTGAATCTTTTTAATATAAACATTTAACGGTTTCATCTCACTGTTATCTTACGTTATCTTACTTCTAATGCAAAATAGGGTAATTTCCTAGAGAACGATTTTTGGACCCCGCCCCCCCCGGCCCCCCTCCTATCATTTTGTACATGGATCTTAAAAGTAAGACATGTGGCCTCAGCGCTCGGCCCCCTAGCCTGTCCTAGCCGCAGCGCTCGGCCCAAAAAGTGTCTCAACCTAACCTAACCCTAAATAAAAACCATTTTAATTGAAAATTGTTGAAAAAGTGGTCATGTACAAGATTAATAGGAGGTCCAAAAATCGTTATCTAGGACGGACCCCAAAATAGAGATCATAGCTTGTTAAAATACTTTTGAAAAAGTGGAGATTTCGTGATCAAGAAATTTATTTTTCCAAAAAATTATTTGTTTTACTTTCATAGAAATATTTTTCATGAAACGGCATTTTGATACCTTAAGAAATTAGTATTAAAACTTGATGATGTATAATTCTTGGAACCTATATCTCCACGTGATTTAAGACGGAGATCCCTGTTGTCGACCCCCCCCCCCTCATCCCCAGCAATCCCACTCTTATTTATTCCTTGTTACAAAGTTCTCTGCTAACGCCCATTATAAGAGATTAAGAGCTGGTGCTATCAGGGATAAATAATGTTATATTCTTCTAAATCTTGTATAAAAGCAAGATCTAGTTCTAAATATAACCATTAAACTTAATATCTAATGTGTTTATAATTTTAACACACAGTACATGAAGTGGGGAAATTACGCGCGCATGCCGTGTTGAATTGCAAGACAGAGAGAGAGAGCCCATTCTAGCCGCGGTGCTCGGCCCCTAGCCTAGGCGCTCGGTCCCCTAGCCTGTCCCAGCCGCAGCGCTCGGACCATAAATTGTCTTAACCTAACCCTAACATATATATATTTATCTCTATTCTTGTAATTCAACGCGGCAAGAGCACGGAACTACTTTGGGCAACTACTTAATTTTTTATTTTTTTATTGTTTCGTAGAGGTTAGGTTAAGACACTTTCTGGGCCGAGCGCTGCGGATAGTACATGCTAGGGGGCCGAGTGCCGCGGCTAGGACAGGCCAGGGGGCCGGGCGCTGCGGCCACAAGTACATAAAGCAGCTGTAAAACAAATTACTTGTACTTTGACTAGGGTCAACATTTTGACTTATAAATGAGTTTTGACATATGATCTCAAATCTAACCGTGTTCACAGATAGGGATCCAATTAAAAGTTGAATTAGAAAGCCTTGTAAGAAATATATTTAATGAAAGAATGTTACTCCCTGAACTAGTTTAGTGTACAGTGCATTAGTTTGTGGTATAGATAAAAAAATAAATACTGGTAGTTTACTATTATATTAAATCCTTATCTTCTACAGTTTGCAAGTTTATATTTGGATAAGTTAACCTCTGTCCATGAAACAACATGTTTTACTACAAGTTGTAGTTTTAATAGTACTTGGGCAAGTTCCTGTTAATTTCTAAGCTGTAGCCTGTATGCCAAATTATTGTTCACTACAATTTATTTCCCACTATTCTTTTCGAGTTTTTCTCATAAATATTATTTTTTACTATTTTTTACTTTCGGTAAGGTCAGGAATAAACCTGGAAGATTTGAACGTTGAATTTTTCTTTCACCGTGAAGAGAGATTTTATTTTGTAAAGATAGATTTACAATTAAAATTAAGATTTAAAGTAAATTCAATTCTTGTATTATTTTTTAAGCGAGTGTTGAAGGAATACTATAATTGAATTCTGAATCAAATTTTATTATTTATCTATGTTCGATGTTTCACTCCCTTTTATCATTTCATTTTAGTAAACACCCCCTTTATTATTTCGTTTTGGTCAACACTCCCTTTATCATTTCATTTTTAGTCAACACTCTCTTTATCATTCCATTTTAGTCAACACTTACTTTATCATTTCATTTTTAGTCAACACTCCCTTTATCATTTCATTTTAGTCAACACTCCATTTATCATTTCATTTTTATTCAACACCCCCTTTATCATTTCATTTGTTGTCACACTCCATTTATCATTTCATTTTTATTCAACACTCCTTTTATCATTACATTTTTAGTCAAAACTCCTTTTATCATTTCATTTTTAGTTAACACCCCCTTTATCATTTCATTTTTATTCAACACTCCCTTTATGAATTCATTTTTAGTTAACACCCCCCATCATTTCATTTTTATTCAACACCCCCTTTATCATTTCATTTATTTTTCAGATAAAGTGTTGACTCGAAGTTTGTCCAGACTAGATGGGAAAACGTAAACAGAAAGTTCGCTGGTGCACTGTAGACGGTCTGAAGTGGACAAATAACGAGGTAATGAGACCGTTTTTGTAAACAATCTTTCTCGGATATTATTTGTCATAAGGGTTACAAGTATCTTCTATATATAAAGTGGTAATCTCTGTTTGTCTGTTTGTTTGTCCGATTATAACTCAGGAACCCCTGAACCGATTTGTCTCAAACTTTGATCGTGGAAATTGGGAGACCCACGCTAACGTTCTTAGCTTAGTTTTGAGATTTTTAGTTGAGTGGATCGACTTTAATAAAGAGCGGGTTAACTACAGGAGTAACTATGAGTACCCTGGGTTCCCAAGCCAGTATTGATCTGTTCCTAATAAAATTATTTCGAATTCCCCTGATAGACATATATATGTTCATTACCAACAGATAGGATATTTTATCAGCCGTTATCGTCAAAATGTTAATCTCATAAGCATAAAGAGAGGGGGGGGGGGGGGGAAATTAAGTTTTAAACGGACTGTTAGCGTAAATTTAAGTGCCTCCTTAAGCAAAAATGACTGTCCACAACGGTACCCTGGCAACCTTAATCTGATAAAAACGTGGAAGATAATATAAGCAAGAAATGCGCAGAGAATTCTTAAATGAAAATAAAAACAAAAACATTGTTATATAATTCATAATTGATCAGACAACGTTGTGAATCTTGGCATTACCATTTTTGCATGGAGGGTCACTTGAACTTACGCTTACAGTCCTTTAAAAGGGGGTGTTCGCGAAAAATGAAAGGGGGTATAGGCTTAATGCCATAAAAAAGCGCTTTTGATCGCTACTAATCCTACTTCTATCTGTTGCGTCTATAAGGAGAAACTTGTAAAAGCCGTCTCGTACCGAATAATCTAGCGCCCATACAAATTGAGAAAATTGCAACATACGACTTAGACCGTAAAAAATCAATTTAATTTCAAACAAATCATTTAGATATTACAACCTATAGTCATCGATTATCTTTCTCCACATTTGTATATAGTTTATATTTTATAATATTTTTATTTTTTTAGAAAACGTTTTAACTAACTTCGAAAAATGTGAGTGGTCCGCGGCATTCTTAGATAGTCGCGCAAGCCGCAAGAGAAATAAAATAATCAAATTCAAAACAAATTAATTAAGAAATATTATAAAATATAAACTATATACAAATGTGGCGAAAGATAATAGATGACTATATGTTGTAATGTCTGAGGGATTTGTTTGAAATTAAATTGATTTTTTTACGGTCTAAGTCGTATCTTGCAATTTTCTCAATTTGTATGGGCGCTAAGTTATTCGCTATTAGTCGTTTTTAACAGTTTTCTCCTTATAGACGCAACAGATAGAAGTAAGGTTAGTAGCGATCAAAAGCGCTTTTTTATCGCATTAAGCCTATACCCCATTTCATTTTTCGCGAACACTCCCTTTAAGAGATAAAATAATTAAAGAATATTAAAGGCACTGAGATGGTACTTTTAGGTTTTCTTATTATACTGATGCAGTTATTCATTATTGTGTTGGAATAAAAACGATCGTTTTTAAGTTGAAGTGGAATAATCCTTCAACTTGGACTCCCCGGTATCCGAGCTTCTCGCCAATAATCCAGTTAATTTCATTTTCCTTGGAGAAGAGATACTACGTGATGTATAACTCCTAATCCCTTCCTTACCCCCTCCTTACCCCCCTCCCCTCCTCCCCCCTCCCTCCTCGCTCAATTACCAAGTTTTGGTGAACGGCCAACTGGAGGGTTAGATCAATATTTCTGTCTTATATCAAACAGTCCCCATATGCTTTATCACAGTTAGATCAATAATGAAATCAATTTTCGTTATTCACTGTCATAAATTTTATTCAATGTAGTAGCTGAAACAAGATTTGTCCTCATTCATGGAAAGATCGATGCATTTTTTAACAGAAGATGGACAAGGGGGGGGGGGATTAAGCCCCCAACCCACTCTATTTATATCGTTTGTGTTTGTTTCTAAAAATATTTTTGTTTCTATTAGTTCTAATTTTGTATAAAATATCTATCCTGAAAAATTCTATTTAAGTTTTTTAAACTTGTCAAATTTTGCAGATATGTCGAAAAGTATATTGATTTAATCCGTCTTCGCCTCCTCTTGATGGTTTCATGTTTCTATATCAATCTATTATCTGTCTACTGAGTATTGGATAAAGTTAATTTTCAGAATTGATCAGTTTATTGAACCGTATTATTGGTAACAATCAACTTATCTTTCTATCATTCAACTTTTTATCAAAATTATAAATTAAAGGGACGTAAGCGTAATTTTAAGACTCCGTACAAAGACGACATTGCCAGATTTACAACGACACGCTTAAAACTTTAATTTTATCAAAAATTTGGACGATAACGCAGTTTTTCTGACTCTTAATTTTTTTTCTGTGAATTTTTCCATTGTTTCTCATAAACAAGAAATAAGCGAGTCACTTTCGCAGAGAAACTGAAAATGAAAATAGTCGGTTTTAAGAAACAAACACATTGATATACTTTTAAGGGTACCGTTGTAAATCGGCCATTGCCATCTTTGCATGGAGGGTCACTTGAAATTATCTTAGAGCCCCTAAGCTTTTACATTTCTCTGAGTTAACGACTTGATTTATGTGATTGCACAGTGCACATTTGTTGGATTTGTATCAGAACTGCAGAACTTGAACCTATATATTGTAAACTAGTCAACCTGGTTAATCTGAAACCGGTCTTTCAGCTTCAGTTCTATCTTTTACTTTCCTTGTATTATCTATTATTCAGAGATTTGTCATCTTGTCTGTTTCCTGTCCAATGTTTTCAGTTATTTTCTCTTAAGTGGAGTATTCGGTGCGGCGGGGGGGGGGGGGCTATGGGAGCTCAGCACCCCTCCCCTAGGTCAGAAAATGGTTTTCAGGGGGGAGTTTTGGGTCCAAACGGGTACTGAGCCCCCCTCCCCCCACACTTTCAAGAAGGGGAAAAATTGAGCCCACCATACACAAACTCCTGAGTACGCCCCTGTTTTTACCTTATTTGTTCAGGCATAGTCAAGTCATTTATTTCTTTTTCTTCCCAAGTTTTAGGTTTGAATTATTTATTACAGTTGGGGGGACGTTATTAGTAATAATTAGCTGACAAAATATATTCTTTGATAAATATTGAATTATAAGCTTGGAATTAATATTATAAAACTTTTTGTTAATATTTAGGTCATGTATGTTGTAGTATATATTTGATGGTTTATTTTCCTATTCTGTGAAAACCTTTTTTTATAGAAATAGATCAAACAATACCATGCAATATTCTTCATTACGAATTTTATCTAATCCAGAGTTATGTTTAATTTTTATGACAACGAAATTTTATGAATTTGAGGGTGGGGCTATGGGGGCTAAGACCCCACCCAGCCCTCTGGATCAGTAAAATCTTTGGTTTCCTTGGGGCTTTCAGCCCCAAAGGTTGCTAAGCCCCCGGGACAGAATTTTTTTTAACCCCCTCAATCCTAATTAAGTTATAAAATCTTGAAAAACTTGAGTTTTCTTGGATGTGAACTTTTTGTTAAAGCTTCAATAATTTGTAAATAATTCTTATGTTCTTATTCAAGATAATCCACTGAAAAATATTCTCAACTTTTTGTAAATTTTATCTGCTTATTTTTATTGTGAAAAAGTCATGAAAGATAAAGAACTGATAATATTTAAGAGGGAGGTGCCTGGGGAGTTTTAAGTGTAAAGGGGGAAAAAAATTAAAAACACCCATATAATAGAGCCCTTTGCTCTCTAAGATGGGGTGGTCTTCAGATCCTCTCTTATCTTATCTTATCTTATATATATACTAGTTTGGGAACCCAGCGCTCCCCAGGTTACAAAAAGTTACTGCTGCCGTTTACCCGCACTTAAACTCTTTACTAGGAAACTAAACTTTCGTTATTGAAGTCTACCAGAGATTGCAACTTTATAGATAAAGATACTAATATGTTAGCTTACAACTTTATATATATAGATATTAATATGTTATCTCACAACTTTATATATACAGCGGAAACTAAAACCATAAAATTCCCAAGGTGAATAAAATAAAGCATAGTTTTATTATTGATATGGGAAATCTTAAAAATTAAATAAAATGTCTACTTTGTTGTCTGAATCTGTGGTGCCGTTGTTTCTGCCTCACCTGTTAGAATAAGACATATCTAGATATGTCACAGGAGTCATTTCTGACAGGGAATAGGTCATTTTAGAATTAATTGGGGTCCCTTTTCGGAGAAATATATTCTTACTTTCTTGGAAACCCAGCTTTGCCAGGATTTTTAGGGGGATTGGGAGACCGATAGAATGAAAAACTGGAGGGGGAAGTTTTGGAGGGTCAGCATTTGACTATTTATAAAATGTTGTAGCAGCTTCTGACCTTTGTCTGTACTCTATATATATTTGCTCTATTTAAACTTAACTCCTTCTTTTGACATGTTGCATAAAAACATCTTAACTATTAGTTTTTTTACAAGCTGTAACACCATAACTCGATCAAGGTCTGACATGGTTTGAACCATCTCGTTTCTTGAATTTTGGTAGAGCGATGGTTAATTAATTGGATTGAAATTTTCCTCCAAAATAAGTATTTTTAATGTACGCGGTTTCCTATCAAACTAAAATAAGTAAGATCGAATAAGATATCTGTATAGACGAAGCTGTTCTAGATGAACCGGAAGTATTTTGTAAATTTAGAAGTAGGTTTATTCCCTGATAAAATCCTGTTCTTTAAAAATAGACGAATAGTTCTAAATAATTTATTAGTGAGAACACGAGACATTCATAATCAATACATAGCATTCATTACATCTCCAGGTTCAATCCTTATCGTGGAATAGTGATAAGGCCCTAACTCCCAAACCATCAAATCCAAACATCAGGTCACGTGATAAGTTCTATCTATCTATCACAGGCTCCAATAAACAATATCCTTACATATATTAAGTAATTAACCGCGACAATCACAAATTTTGTTCACATTTGACTGATTATAATTATAATCTGGTCATGTTTTCTATATAATAGGTTAGGTTAAGTTGGGATTATATCTGGGCCGAGCCCTGCGGCTATTAAAAACTTAGTTAAAGTTTGCTAACATTAGTCTTTGTTCCCCAATTAAATCTGCCCATGATATCTATATATATAGGTAGGTGGTTCGAGGTTTCGTGATTAAAAAATTATATTAGTTTCAGGCCAAAATTTGAATTCGGGCCTTACCACTGTACCACAACCCCTAACGGTCAGAAATTACCTATCTCCACAAATATACTTATNGGGGGGGGTAGCTCAATCTGTTGAATAATTTATTTAGTTTCCCTGTGTTGTAAACAAGAGAATGCAACCTATAAATCTTGAGTTAAGCTGTATTCTTGTATTCGAAAACAACATTATTTTTTGTTGTAGGACGAATCCAGTCCCGAGGGCTCAGTCACGGGTGGAGAGGGGGGCGGACCCGTCCCTACGGGGTCGGGTAGAAGGGGCGGAGTACAGAGTTATTCACCGGGAGGCGTGGCTCCGAGGTTTGAGAAGCGTCCACAGGTAGGTTTTTACTATTTAGGAACTGTTTTCTTATGATTTTAATGTTTAATATATTTCCAATCTGTCGTTAGTTCATCGTAATTTGAGTAGGATCGTGTCTACATTGATATTTAGACCGTATTCAACTTTTAAAGTGACATGCTGTGCTGTCACTTTGATTTTTCTCATGTTTATGCGTACACGAGAATAGTAATGTTATATTTTTTAATTAAAATTAAAATCCTAATTTTATAATAGTTGGGTTCATTCTCTACATATTCAAAAGACAAAAATCTCATTTTTTCTGTTTTCTTTTTTTCTTTTTTTTAGACACTTTTGTCCATTGTCCAAGCTCTAATCGTCGTTTTATCTTAACTATATATTTTAGAACGGCCATGTTTATTATGAAGGAGAGTACTGTGAGGCAGAAGAAATGCCAAACGGTTTCACAAAAATCAGGAAAATAGTCAAACCAGCTCATAAATATTTTAATTAATTTTCTATGTATTCTCAGAATTTAGTTTTGTATGTTACCACTGTTAACATAATTCATTTTTCGCGAACACTCCCTTTAACTCTGTTTCACGTCTACCCCACATGTGAGAACATTCCTAGTTCTGGTGATTTAAAGTTTGTTCATCCCCTAGATTAGAGACTAATGTTGCTCTAATCCACAGAGCTGAGGCTAGATAATTATTTATTTAAGGGACTGCCATTTTATTATGTAAATTTTTTTAATTCCTTGGATGTGGTGGCCGTTATTTTTGGCTCCCTCTCCGGAGTCGAACCCGTCAAAACCATTGGTTTTAAATAAAAACAATTGGGATGAAGTTCTCAGGTTTGTAAATTTGCTTAAAAATCATGACAAAAACATTTCCAGCTCGTCAAAAAATTTGGATTTCATTTCCGAATTTGATTACTTTTTATATAACTTTTTGATGTTGGCTCGGATTTTAAACCCAGCAAACGCCCCTGGATCTACCCGGAGGGGGGGGGGGTGTTTATAAGAGACAAAATTCCCCTAATTTATGCCGCACTGTGGGAGGGAGAAGTATTGTTTTTATTGAATTTTATTGTAGAAAACTCATCGGAATAGAGTTGTTATTGTTCAGATCATGCAAGAGTTTCTTGCAGTCCTGCTGCTCAGCTACTTTATAATAAGGGATTGCTCTTGAAATTTGTAACGTTTGTTGAGACAGATTTCCTTTCAATTTGTCCTTTTTTTTGCTGGAGAAGAGGGCTTATTTCATCAAGTTTAATTGGGGCGGGGGCTTTCATTTTTTTAATGCTTGTTTTGACAAGGATAAAAGCTTTGAGGCATGCACAAAAACACATTTTTATGTAGGAATAGACATCCTTTAAACTTATTTTGAGAGAGAGCCTTTTGATTTGAACAAACTTGTTTGTTGAGACTGAGAGAAAGCCTTTTGATTTTTATCTAAAATTTTTTTTAAAATTTAATGATGAAAATTTATTTACTCTCTCTAAAATTAATTCTTTTCGCGGGGTAAACATAAAAATAAGGTATTGTTAAAACCTGTAACTTCTTAACTTTGGAAAATTTTTATTTTCATGGTTTATTTTTGAGTTATTTTGAACTATTTGTACCTCTAGATCCAAGAACCTTGATATTCTCTTCAAACGTGAATATTATGAACAGAGGCTTCATCAGCAGCGGTTGCAAGAACAACAGAAACAGGAGCAAACCCTACCTGCTTCCCAACCTGGAGAGGGTTCAGAACCTACAGAGATAGCTGAAGCAGAGCCCAACAATCCTGAACTATCAGCAGAGGATGTGTCAACCATTCCTGGACCGGAGACTCAACCCAAACCATTCAGAGCTTCCAAGAGTTTAGATCAGATTGATCCTGCAAATATCCCCGAGTTCAGACCGATGAATTCTCTACCACTTTCTGGAGATCAACACCAGGATATGCAGAGTGGTCAACAGAGTCCTTACTATCCAGGATACTATACTGAGCAGGGATACTATCCTGCACCTTCCCGTCCCAACCTGTATCTATACTCACCCTCAAACAACACTCTTATACCCTGCGAGGAGATAATTATTCCTAATCCTGCTGTATCAGGAGAAGGTCCTGTTTATCCTGGTCCTACTAATATCTACCTGGCCTATCCTGTCTCCGGACCTGATGGAAGGGGATATATTACTCAACCCTTCTCTCCACCCTTACCCCAGGAGTATATGTCCTATCCCAGCTATTCTCCAAGTATATCGGATGGAAGTCATTACCACTCCTCTACTCCACAAACTCCGAATTCTGGACATGATTCTGGAAGCTCAACTCAACCTGCCTCCCCCCCTCCCCTTGTCAACTATCATCCTGCAAACTGGTTTCAACGGGAGGCCAAGACTCCAGATTTCCTGCAGAATCGATCTGAGCCTGAAGTCCAGGCTTTTGATTCAAGATCTAGAAATGTTAAGAGTGAGCTCAGTAACTCTTCCTCTCCTGATACTCCAACCGTGCAATACATCCCTGGTCTTCCTCCTCAGGTTCAAGCTACAACACCCAAGAAATCTCAAAAGAAGAAGAAGAAGAAGAAGCCCCAGTCCGACCACCGGGACTCTTTGTCCAGTGAGTCTGAGTTAAGTAGGATCTATGGATCTGGACAAGAGACCGGCAACACACTTACAAATAACAGTTCCCCGGTACTCGAAGTCAACCTCACCGATGATTTAGCTGATTTCATGGTTAACCCTCCGACTGAACCAGAATGCTCAGACGAAGAAACATTAAGAAATAGTTCGGGGGCTATGAACCAGGGTCTTAAAAGAGACGACACCATCCTTAACCTAAAAGATCTTCCCAATGACCTAACTAACCTAGAATTGGAAACCTTTCAAAACGACCCACAGAATCTTGTTGATTCGGGGATAGAAAAGGACCTCGAGGAAATGCTCATCTCAGACCTGGAATCAAAGAGATCTCTAAAATCTGACTCAGATGATAGTTTTGATATGGTTTCCACTACAATACCTCCATTTCCTGAACCAGTTAAAGACCCTGTACCGGAAGTAGAGGAATTGGAAGAAGAAAATGTGATCAGTTTTGAATGTGATGATATGTGTGTCGAACCTGTTCCTCTTTCTACCCCAATAAACCAGAAACCTGATCTAGTTGAGCCCTTGGTGGAAGAAACAGATAATGTTGAAGTGTCGGTTGAACCTGAGCACCAACAAGTGGAAGAGGTTTTAGAAAAAGAACTAGAGGTTCTAGAAATTACTACACTTGTAGTTGTTCCCCTTGAAACAGAATCCTTGATCCCTGAACCTTCCCAGGGTCCCCTGTATACAGCTGAATCTTCTCATCTCTCAGATTCTCACAACGTACCTGCTAAACCGAGAAAGAAGAGAACAAAGAAGAAGACAGCAAATATGGTGCTAACGCCGGAGAAATCGGAAATTACTTCAGAACACCAAGATATTCCTACAGAAAACGCAAGTAAAATGTCTTATAGCGCAGTCTGTAAGACAAGTGATCATAAGATGAATTCTAGTCAACAAACCCAAGAACCAGAACCTGAAAAGAAACCTGCTCCTGTAGTTCTTGGTCAAGAGAGAGAAACTTCAAAATCCGTCCATACCCCTGTAGACTTGAAACCTGAAGAATGGGAAACCGTTCCTCATGCGCTATCTAACCCGGGTAACTGGGAGAAAAAACAGAAAAAGAATAAAAAGAAGAAACTCAGCTCTGTTAGCTTTGAAGAGATCCCGGAGATAATTGAAACCCAAGAAGTTCATGAGGATTCAACAGAGAAAAAAGAAGAGATGCCTGATCTAGAGCTTATTAAACCCGTAGATCCTGTCAGAGTTGAGAGACTGCAAACCCCTGAATTAGAGCTTAAACCCGAGGATGAATGTGAAGAGAAGAAAAAGAATAAAAAGAAGAAGAAAAAGCATGGAAGCGAGGAGCCTGAGGAGAAGCAGCACAAGATTCTCATTTGCGACAATCAGGTATTTTCAAAAAGGAAAGCTGAGTGTTCTTAACGTCAGAAATTTCCACATGCATATTTGAAACTCCATTCCTAATCTATGCCCCCCCCTTCCCCATCTGCATATTTGAAACTCCATTCCAAATATATTTTTTATCTGAAACAAAATTGCATTTTAAACAAACAAAAAATACAAAAAAAAACTTAAATAAAGATGAAAAGTTTCATCTTAAAATTCGATAAAAATATTCTGCACTCCGCTGGAGTAAGTATTGTTAAGATAGATTGATCCTAGCAGCTCAGTTCATTCTTCTTATCTTTTCCAATCATTTAAGATATTCCCTCAATCCGAGTGTTAGTACTGGCCCTGGTAGGTAAAAGAAATTTAAATTTTATCCTGCTTTGCTATTGAAGGTAGAATGGTAGAATGAAATCTTATCGGAAAGAAATACTACTAAATTTGTCTTTGTAAAATGTATTTTATAAAGATTTCGTTAGGGTTGAAGACTAACTTTATCACAACAATACTTAAATCTTCGAGAGTTATTAGGTAGTGATGGGGTTCATGGCGGGCGGTCACTCCCTCTCCTGGATATGCACATTGCATATGCAATCCCTGTAGATGAATAAGTACGGACGGAAAGGAGAAGGAATTTAAAATTTGAAAGCTACCCGTTACCTAGCACCTGTCCCCACCCTCCCTCCCCCCGTCTCCTTGTCATATGATTCAAGGATGCCTCCTAGTAACAGAATTTTACCTCGTGCTACTGAAAGAACGGGAAGCCGGTAAAGGGGGAGAAGGTTATGGGTTTGCTCTATGCTGGGAGAATAAACGGTACTCACTCATCCGACCTAGAGGAAATGGACCTAAAGGTTTTATGACCTAAACCAATTGTACTTTACCTTGAAAAGTTGAAATAGGTTAGGTTAGGTTAGACTGATTGGTGGAGATGGATGGGGAGAGACGTAGTCATAATCGGGAGTCGATTTTAATCCTTACTAACGCGCGGGAGAGAAAACAGTCGATAGTTAGGTCGGAATCACTTTAGGTCAGTTAATCCATAGCATCGATTGAACTAAGGTGAATGATGAGGCCAGTTAAAATATGAAAACATAGAATATGTTAGGATCAAGGTCTGAACAAAAGAGAATGAAGAAAACTCACATTTTTCTGTTAGGACGAAGTTACTAAATCTGCATTCTAAATTTACTCTTTAGTCACTTAGTGTCTGGATTAATTAAGAATTATTTACCCATTAGCTGACCGCGTGTAAAATGTAACTTTAGTAACCTGACCAAATGTAAGCTTTCAATTTCCATGAATGAGAGAATGTTCACAATTTCTTTTTTACTTTAAACTATCTCACACTTTTTTACCTTAGGGCCAGAAGTTGTGCCTATTTACGGGAAGATGAAGAGAATTTTCAAAAATGTTGCTGTCGTATAACATTTCTTCTCCCTAGCACAAATATGCTGAGCTATGGAAACTTACTCGTTTAATGGGGGAAACATTTAAAATATGCAAGTATCCCGCAGTCAACCTTAGTAAATTAGAATGCTAAGTTTAATATATTTAGAATAAATGGCTTCTTCACTACTATAAGCGACGTCTAGACAAGACCTCCAGGCTTATGTTCTTTTTAACCATTTCACCCTATTTTCCCCTCCTCTTCAAATATTCTTTCCCTACCCTCTGCCAAATCCCCTTTACATCCATTCATTCTCAAACAGCTCATTTCATCCACTCACAGATCTGGCCGATCCCATCATTTTACTTCCCCTCCCCCAACCCCTTTCGAGATGTAACCAAAAATAGTAAAATAAAATAAAACATCATTTTCTTGTTTCTCTTTGATGAAAAACTTCCCAAGTCTGTTTCAATAAAGTATTAAAGTGACTGTATCCAGGGGCGGATACAGGGGGCGGGGGGACATTCGCCCCCTTTGATATTTCGTATTTTTTGTTCCTATTTTCAGAATAGCTTCTCAATAGCATGCTTAAGGGAAAGGAACCCTAGTGCAAAACCGGAAAATATCTGTCTTAATAAACTATAATGTGTGAAAAGTTAAAAAATCTAGTTTTTTAGTCTTTAGTCATTAATTTTGACTCTTTGAGTCTTTTAAGTAAAAAAAATTTTCGCCTTGCCTCCCCCTCACTTAAATCCTGTATCCGCCCCTGATTGTATTGTAATGATGAACTTTTAACCAATATAGACCGTTAGAATAGTATTGACACAACATGCAACTAGGAGAGAAAATAATTTTTTCTCTAAATATTAACTTATTTTTTATTTTGTATATATTTTTGGTTCTGCCATAAAAAGATTTGCCGTTTTTAAAAAGATATTTGGTAGCGAAGGTGGGGGGAGAGGCTGAGAAGGGGATAGATAATACTAATATGCTGAATCTTGTTTGATAGAATAAGACTGAGAAACTTTATTGTATCTTTTAAATGCAATAAGTTAAACCTAAATAAAATGATAAAATAAACGGTTATTAAACGGATGTATAAAATGAATAAATTAAACGGATTGTGTTATGTATTGATTAAAACAGATTCTATGGCTTCTTGGTTATATATCCTTAGACATAACAGATTTAAGACCCAAGGGGGGGTATTTCTCATAATATTGATCACATTTTCATGTCATTTCAACATTCCTTATAATAACAACTTTTTTTGCTAAATTCTTTAATGATTCTCATAGTTGGGAAAAGTAGATCTTTTTAACAATTTGTTTAAAAAGATTTTTTTTCTATAGAAGATAGATACAAAGTTGTACTGAATTAGTTAAAATTATTACAGTATTCCATTATTTCCCACTTGTAGAAAAAATACTTTGGTATTCTTGGGCCCGGGACCTTAACCGTAAAAATTTATCTAATTCCGTCTTGCAGGGTGTTTTTTGTTTTCCCTTACAATTCCTGCTTTTCAGTAGATAATTGATTTATGACAGCTAGTGAACTAGTATTTGATAATTAAATTATTTTTTAGATTGAGATTCGTTATTCGCGCTCTGTTAAACGCGCTTGTGATGTTTTGGATCCGGACCAGATCGAGTGCGCGAGTACAACTGGTTACTGTGATATTCTAATCATAGAGAAGCTTGGTTGTGGTATTGCCAGGGGAAGGTAATATTATTTTATATATATAAATTAGCAAGGGAACCCAGCGTTGTCTGGAGTTTTCCCTACAGCCGTTGTCGTATATATCAATAAAATAAAGACGACTTTCTTGTTCAGTTTTGATTACTACCAGGCTTTCAAACATCATGAATACACCACACAAAAATGGAAACTGTCAATTAAAATGTTTTAAATGTCTACTTAAAAACTTGTAATTTGTTGAAAGCTTGTTAAAAATCAAAATTTTAATAGAAAAGTCGTCTTCATGGTGTTGATTTAATTGCCGAACACTGTATAAAACTAACCCCACTCAACATGGAATTGTTAAACCTAGTTACGAACATTCCTATGGTTCTACTTAATTCCCCAATTAAAATTTGAGTCTATTCGGTCCAGGGGTTTGTAAGTTACGATCGGACATCCAAACAAACAAGGAAAAATGACTACAGTTAAAATATTTGAATTGTCGTTTTCTTGATACTTATTTATCATTTGTAGTTCAATACTACATACTTAGAACCAGAAAAACTGAGAAATATGAAGACGACATTAAAACAATAATTTCTGTATTAGTGTATTTGATGTTAAAAAGCAAATGGTTTTACTACAGTGAAACCGTTGTTTCAGAGTATTGAATGATTCTAATGATGATTTTTATACTCTTTTCTCTCTCTTATCCCAACTTAACAGTAATCCGCTAATTCCTTCAAAATGTCGTCTTCACCCCTTATCGACATTTGTACCCACTAAACTACATATTCTCCATAGTCTTTTACACGTATTATTTTATATCTGTATCTCTGTTCTGAACTTCTATATCTTGCTGATTCTCTTTCCAATACTGTGGTCCCCGTAGAACATCTATTCATTACTCAATCTTCCCAATCACTCCAAGTTCCGATTACCAACCCTTTTATCATCCTCACATTCATTTAATCCCAATCCCAACTTCCTCTTTAGTTGGTATCCATCCCAATTCCCAACCTATTTTATCTATTCCCAATTTATCCCTGTCCAACCTATTCCAACTTCCTAGTCCTCATCCTAATCCCAATCCTTCCAATCCCAACATTGGTTAACATTCATTTGGGATTCTTACAGTTTGGGATTTTACTTATAAAATCATAAAGAAATGTTTTATATTATTGCCGACCTTTTTCACATGACAAATGACAACAAGCAAACAAAATATTATGATTTAATGATGTATTATTGTTTCATGAATGCCTTTTTAGAAAACCTTTATATACACCAGTTGTATCTGGCACTTGGATTTCTATCTTTTCTCTACCTGCGTGGTTTTAAATGGTTGGCTTGGTGTAGGGGTGGTTATATCCCACAACAAGAATTATTAATTTAATGATGCCCTTAATGACGAATACATTGGAAGAATTTATCAAATGTCGTCTTGACAATTTTTCAATGAGTTTTATACTATTTTACGTAAATTTCAGTATTTGCGAAAATAAATAGCCATAAATATGTATGAACAGTTTTAAAGAGTTCCATATAATCATTTAATTAAAAAACTAAATATCTGCAACATTCCATTATCAGAAAGTGAAGAATACGACATTTAATAAATTCTTTCGATGTATTCGTTATTAAGGGTTTCACTGTAATAACTTAATAATTCACTTATTAAGTGAAAAGGGTCTGTTTACACTGCACTATTGCTTTGTTTCATTCATTGAACTATTAAACTTGAGTCCTAAACGTTAAAGTCGTCTATTTCTGAGTTTTATGGTTATCACTTTAGAATCGAGGATATTAATAAAAGTTAGATATTTCCTAAATTTAAGAAAAGACGACACCATCATACTTGTAATGTGTTTCCAATAGAATTTACAAATTGGACAAAAAATAATATTTTATCTTATTTTCAGCATGAGTCTGGGTCGCCTATACCAGGGTAGATATGTTCCTCCAGAAAGACAAGATGGACTCCTTCCACCACAAGAGGATGAGGCTGATCAGCAGGAGGTCGAGGAACATGATAAAACCAGCACTGTCAAGAAGGAAGAAATTGATTTAGATTAATAAATGCTTAATCTACGATCTGTAAATCCGGAAAATCCTACAAAAGTCTCTGTGGTGCACGAAAAAAAAACATTTTTGGGAATAATTTTGGCGCAAAAAATCTTAAGTGAACCTTAAGCGGACATAAATATGTTGTGCTACTCAATAAATTATGATATTATTACCGTTGTACCGAATTCGCTGTACACCGGAATGTTTAGGTTTTAAGGCTGTTATTGTTAAATGTTATTGTTACACAGTTCTGTTTTGAGATATTTAGATGAAAAGTTCCATGGATTAAACAGTACACTTCACATAGTACATAGTACATAAAATCCTTAATCAGTGACACGTCAATTTTATTCATAAACACACATATAGAAAGCATTTACAATTACATACACACAAATAGTTTCCTCTTCCGACTACTTCAAGCCTAAGCATGATATTTGTGAATATTTTATAACTAGAACAATATCCTAGTTTCATTTTTTATTTATTTGTTTAAATTCAATGTTCAAAGTCAAATTTACTGTACTGATTCTTCCAGCTGTATAGATGGATTTTATTTATATTTTATTTTAACCCTGTTTTAATAGTTGTTGTAAACTGCCATTGTAAACTAAGCATGCTTATTTAAACGATTTTAGCGCATGCCTTTTTTGAAGAAGATACTTTTAAGTATCATTTTAATGTCTGAAAAATATTGTAAATTGTTGTAAGTTCATATTTAAATTTAAAGTGTCAATGAATTACATAAAATAGCATATGCAATATGTAACTTGTTATGAAATGCCTCTGTTGTTCGCATAGGGCAATAAATATATATTTTAAAAATAAAATAAAAATGTTATTAAGTATTTTTTACTCCAAGGAGAACTGCTGAAGAACTAGTTTTTGCGTAACAACAATAATAAAGATTGTAAACAGTAACACAAATGATTAACAGATATCTGGCGCATGGCGTTAGATGAAGATTCACCGTATACTAGCTCGTGTTTGTTTACATTAGAACGCCTGCTTTTGTTATTGTTACGCAAAAACTAAAGTTCTTCAGCAGTCCAAAAACGTCACAGCAAAGTGTACGGAAACCCTATCGCCCCCTCCTATTCAATTCATCTTGAATACCACAATGTCTGTACACGCGATGAAATGAGGTATCAAATACTAAAACTTGAATTACCACTAAGAACAGGGATATCTGATAACTGGCCAGACTAGCTGAAAATGCATTTTATACTGCATATTGTTAATAGTTCAGTATATTCTACAGCAATAAGCCGAAGTCGTCGTTATAAATATCAAAGATCTCGGTCATTTAAAAATAAACTAGTTTGGAAGACTAAAATTTGTGTATAGCACTCAATGCCAATTGAAAGGTAAAAACGATTTAAATTCGTTAAGGTAAGAAGAAATGCAAGGCAAGTTAATTGCTGTTGCGTATTCTTTGAGTACATAGTGAAACCAGTTCTCTCTGGGCTGTGTTTGTAAACAAGAATAGATGCACCAGTTTTCCTCTTAGTGTCCGAGAAGGATAAAAGCATTTAATATTGAAAATTTTGATAATTCATATAAAAGTTTCCTTTGACCAGTATATTTTAATGACATATGTGAAAGATGGATCCCATGTCATGACTCCTGTGACATCCATCTTATGTTTACTACAGTGATAACCAGAAAACTCTGGAATAAGAAGTCGACTTTTAATAGCGCATAGAACATGAGGCACAACAATTATGCAATGTAAACCGACACAGTTTACTTTATATGTACTTTTAATAACTTTCAAGTAACGCTTTTTGCTTTAAACAACATCAAATGCACTTCAGAAATGCTATAATGTCGTCTTCCTATTCCGCAGATTTCTGGTTATGACTGTATACAGCCCAGAGACAGTACACTGCAGTGCTAAACAGGCGCACATCTTTGACACAACTATCTTTACATTATGATTGATTGGGGCAAGGTGACTTTTAAAAGACAACACATTTTAGGGTTAAACTAGCTCATATTGAAAATTCTAGCATCTTAAAGTAATTTTCTCAAATGTGTACAAAAATCGAGAAAATGTCACTGTGGAAGGTATATTCCTTAAAGTTAATGATAAAGATAGCTTTTTGGATAGATTTTTCTCTCTTCGGTTATGATTCTTAAAACAATAAACCACAGATGGAAGTTTTTAACAACTAAAGATGCCCATCTGTACACTGTAAAAAGATTAGATGCCCATCTGTACACTGTAAAAGGATTAGAAGCCCATCGGTACACTGTAAAAAGGTTAGAAGCCCATCTGTTCACTGTAAAAAGATTAGATGCCCATCTGTACACTGTGAAAAGATTAGATGCCCATCTGTACACTGTAAAAAGGTTAGAAGCCCATCTGTTCACTGTAAAAAGATTAGATGCCCATCTGTACACTGTGAAAAGATTAGATGCCCATCTGTACACTGTAAAAAGATTAGATGCCCATCTAATGATCTATGTTAAGATTGCACAGTGAAAAAAAATATTTCATATATTTATGATGGCCAAACTATGGGTCAAAGTTAACTATTTTAGTTAATTGAGTAACGTTTTCAATAGACCAATATAATTTACAAAAAGGTTCGTACCTTGGTGGTTTTTAAACATATTGGATGTTCGTTTTCTCCTCTGCAATTAAGACTTTCTAGGTTTCAAGATTAGTTAGAAAGATAATTTTCCCGAAAAGTTTTATAATATGGATTATAAGGCCCAAACTCAACACTTTTTCCGGCCTCTAAATCTAATCTTGCCATGAAATCGGCTTGACCATTAAAATCTTCTCTAAAATATCGTTAGAACCAAGTTTAATGATTTTCCAAATGTTATCACACTTTAAACCCCCATAAAAATTGGCCAAAAATTAATGGAACAAAATAAAATATGGCCACTGAAATCAAAATTTCGTTTTTGAGCTGGTTTACCCTAATGGTTCCTAAATTTGTGTGGTACATCTGGGACTTTTTTTCAGGGGTACCCTAAGGGTGGATTAAGATAAATAATTTTGAACGAAACTGAACGAATTCCGTAAGTTCATTTTCGCGAATTTTGTTCAACGAAAATTGCGTTGGAAACATTTACTGCATCCATCGGATAGATGTAATGAAAAAAAACTTTTTTTTTCAATGGATCAAATATAATAATTTATGCCTCATGCCCATCTCTATTTAGGCGTACCGCATAAATATGTACTGCGTCCAATGTTTACAATTTTATTTCTCAGTTTAATTAAATCCATCATGAGCCTTGGAACAACATATATTTTAATATTGCTGTTATCTAGTATTAGTGAAAGTTATTCACGGAATATCCGTAGTAAAAGACAAACAAAAACAGGGGTAATAGTTTTATTTACGTGAATTTGCTGCTTGTTGTATTTGCTATGTACAATGCACATCATTTTTAAATGAAAAAGAATGCTTTGTTGATATTTCTATGTATGGGGAAAAGGTTTATAATTCAAGTTTCGGAAAGACTTTCTAAGTTGAATTATGGTTTCCTACAATAAGCATCGCGTCCNCCCCCCCCCCGTTTCTCATAAAATAATCTTTTCATTGATTTAACACAATTTTGTACTGCAGTCGAAACTGCACGTACATTGTACACTGTACAGATAACAAGGAAGATTCTCGTGTATCATAATTGACCTGTATCTATAGTCATAAACGTACTGAACTTAAACACCTAAACATGAATTACCTTTCAACTTTCAAACTAGGAATCAATACCAGAAACCCCCGAAGAAAGACTCACCATGCAGGCCGGGTAAAAAATCTCTCCCTCCCCAATTAAGATATTGACATTATGATTGTTTATTCATTATGTCAAAAAAATTATGTTTTGCCATCTTTAATTAAGTTTAATATAATTACCCCTATATTTTATTAATTTGTTAACCTTTGGTATCTTCCAGGGAATTTTGTAATCCATTCCTTAATGCTTATAAAATTTTTTATAAATTGTGTCAAAAAGCAAAAGTTTTTCGAATATTGTTTTCTGTACCCCCCCCCCCCATTTTTAAATTCGTTGATGATCGGCCCAATAACAGTTTTTTACTGAGATTTTGCAATGGAAAAGCTTGCAGGTTCAAATACGGCCATTCTTAGTTTTTTTTAATAACACTTTTACTTCAAGGTCACTGCTGAGGTAACATCAAATACCAACTTTGCATATGTTATCCCTAACCTTCTGACTAATACACCCCTGGCTACCATCTCGGTTGATGTTGGGGGAGGAACTAATTATAAGAAGTATGCTACTAGCGTTAGCACTGAAAATGCCAGCATTTCAATCTCTGCAGAAGGAGGGCAACCAAGTTCAGTGTCAAATCAAGGATATGGAAAATTCTCCACAAAGGTTACGGGTGTTAACACGAGCATATCTGTGGTTGGTGAAGGGGGTGGGGATGGATCTGGTTCTGGATTTGGTAAGCTGGAAGCTGATTTAATTCTTAATGATACAAGCATATCAATTCTTGGGGAGGGTGGAGGAAGCGCTGGAGAGTCTGGATATGGAACATTCTCAACAGATGTCATCACGGCCGACGGTAGTTTATCTATCTCCGGAGAGGGGTCAGGAAGTTCACGGGAACAGAGTAGTTCTGGTGCTGGAAAATACACTGTAGGTGTGACAGCCTTCAATAATAGTTTTACAATCTCCTCTGAGAGCTCAGCCACCAGTGATGGTCCTGGAGCCGGAACTGCGAAAGTAGTAAGTGGAGTCTCAGTAAATGACAGAAGTGTTACAGTTACTGGCGAGGGTTCCGGAAATTTTGATGATGGCACCGGATTCGGTAAACTCGTGACCGATGTGATCGTAAATGAGACGAGTCTCTTGCTATCAGCTGAGGGTGGTAATGAGTATGGTAAAGTTGTGGCTGATATATTATCTGGAGACCACGGGGCATCAGTAGAGGTTGAGGCCGGATCTTCATATGGTAAAATAGATGGTACTGCGCAGACTGCAAACGGAAGCCTGGATTATTCAGGAGGTGCAGGGTTGGATTCAGAAGGACTAGGTAAGCTAATAAAGAAGTTGAGTCTTTGCCTCAAATTCTTTTTTTCCAATCCCTATATCTATTCAACCTGATGGTGTAAACCTTTTACATTTTAAGCTTAGATTGTTTGATCTAACAGAATTTTCTAAGAGCTATTTAAGATATAGAGATTAGAAAGTCAGAGTTTGTGCATCAAAGACTTAATTCCTGTCGAGGATTTATTTATTCATTTGATTACATTTCTAATCATTTATTTTCTAGGTTTCTTCAATGCAGCGTACAAGATGCTGCATGAGGGGCTGAATGCTTCTATAAATAGCAATGCAAGTATTGATGCTAGGAAAATCAAACATCATATTTTAATATTTGCAATATTTCAGATCTTAAACATTTTAAATTTTAGATTCTAGAATTCATGGTAAGACAGAAAGGGGGGGGGGGTTGAGTGGAATATTATTTGTAATATGTAGAACAAAGAAATTGAGTCTTTGCCACAAACTTTGATATTCTAATCCCTATATCTTTCCAACCCAATGTCGCAGACATTAGATATTTCAAAATTTGTGTTATGTTAGATAAAATAGTCTAAATTTGAAGTATAAAAATTTGAAATATAAAAAATTTGAAATATAAAAAATTTGAAATACCAAAAATTTGAAATTTCAACGGTTTACACTATCAGTATTCAAAGATATATGGATTTCGAAATTTGAGTTTATTGCAAAGAAATTTTTCTAAATTTCATCTCTCAAAAATTCAATTTTTTTAAAATTCCTCTGATTTTACTAAAAAAAACCCATAAAATGATTCTTTGTTTGTTCTTCAGTTCAATTGGCAGTTCAGGATTCAATGTTCTGAATTCTTTTGGATTTGAATACTTAACTTTAGAGGAATCAAGCTCAACCACGGATCAGACTAATTCGTCTAAACCAAGGTGAATCTTAATAGTTTAAGTAAAATTCTAAACTATGTCAATTTGTTTTTCATATATATATATATGTTTGTTTGTATCCATGCAAAAAACGCCTAAACGGCTGAACTGATCGAGCCTAAACGTTTTAAGCAACTTACATGACTCTAGGGAAGGTTTATGAGTTACAAAAAAATTCTCTCCAAAATATTTTTTAGAAATTCACGAAAAAATTTATAAATCCTCGAAATATTCCTAATGTTTCATATTGTTCGAATCGAAATTCGAAAATGTTCACAGAGCTACATTAAAGGTTGAAATAGAAGATGGGTGCAAAGCTCCCTGAAATTTATAAATGGCATTTTTAGATTGTTTCATTGGTTTGCTGGACCACCAAGATTTTTCCTCAAATCTCGGAAACACCGTCAAAAACTTCAGAAATTAATCTACTTGTCAGACAGTAATTATATTATAAAGAAAGAAATGTTTTAATAGAAATTGAACAGTATCCAATTTAATCTTGAAAAAATATTATTTCAGGTATTGAAGATATTGCAAATAGGACTTTTTGCACATCACTAGACTGCATAGCAAAGGCAGGAGAATTAAAATTGCTAATATTGAAGAGAATTGACTAAACTTAGTCTTTGTAGTTCAACTACTTCTTTCTATTCATTAAATTTGATTCCAGATACTCTAATCTTACTGGAAATATTTAATTACTGATAAGTGATAACCTTGATTTTGTTGAAGACATGTTTTTATTTAATGATTTTGATTTGTTGAGATTAGGGGTTAATCAATGCATCAAGCTTTTCCAGCGCCTTCAATCTAGATGAAACAAAGCCAAACACCACAGAGGTTCAAGTCGAGGTTTGTATAAAAACTTATTTTACTACAGGGTTACCCACAAAGGATGAGACTTGGAAGACGAATCAAAACTCTAAAAATATGATGATGTAAAACTTGAGTTTTGGTTTCTGCATTCAATTGAGAAAATGATTAAGCAAAGATAAAAACCAGGAACCTTGAATGCAAGAAAACGGACTAAACAAAGTCCGTACAATCGTCTCTGAAGTCTCATCCTTTGTGGGTAACACATAGTAAACTTTAAGACTCCAGAGTGAATTCGAAAAATTTACTAATTCTATTGGAACTAGAGCTTTCAGAGTGTTTTCTGGTAACAATTTTAGCTATTAACCTTAGCTCTTCAAGCTGCCATTTTTCTTCGTAATCGTTTTTCGCTGATTTTTCTGTTTGCATTTACGCATTTTAAAATCAAGGAATGCCGATATTATTTCCTTTTTAACCATCAATAAATCAATCAATATAAGATGTTATATCAACATAAATTACTTAGATTTTAATTTTTCTAATTAGCAAAATAGTTAATTTTTCCTGTTTCAATAAGAGAGAAATACCAATGGAAAACAAACGCTTAATTAAACGTACCCTTTCTTACCAATTGAAAACACAACCTCAACTTTACCTACGAATTTCAATATTTAAATACAATTAGTTAGAACTAAGGAGGAAATTGTTTACTGCATTTTTGCTAATTAATTGTTTAATATATTTTCGCTTATCAGGGTAACAGTTTTGATGTTACTAATACATTTATAGATAAAAACCTGGTTAATAACTAGGGCTGGGCTGAGAATTTTATTTGAGAACATATCAAATAATTCACCGTTTAATTTAGACAATTGATGAGCATTAGTTTTCTGTTTCATCTAGTCAATATCACAACATAAACTAATCGATTGATTGTTAAATTACGATCTTAATATATATTTTAGACCAAAATGAGGGGTTGACAAGAGTTTTATCTATTTCGTCGCTAGAGTTAAGAATTTGTTTATTTATATTTTGATTGCACACTGTAATACAACGTTTGGCAGGACACAAAATAGTATTTTAACGTTTACAAAATTACATTAAATAAATTCTAACAGACGTAACTTTTTTTGGCCACTGAAATTTGTACATCGCAAATTATTTAGACACTTTAGAAAGTCAGTTTCGAAGTCGTCTCTTATTTACCATGTTTATTGGGACACACTGTATTTACAGATATCGAAGTAAAAATATGTTTCAGGTTGGAGGTCGGAATCTAGGCTTACAAGAAGGAATTTTTCAAATAAAATTTTAAAACAAGATTTTGCTGTTGACGCTTTAGGCTTTAGTATGTAAACCGATCTATGAATAAGATGAGATACTTTCATAACATATTTTTTACGTAAAATAGTGAAATTAGTCTGTTTTATGATTTTAAAAAACAATATCCGATTTTTGAAATAAAATATAGAAAAATTTGATAAACTGTTCAGGAGAAGTCCGAGTAGTTGATATATTGTTCCCAACCGGTACTATTCTAGATCTATTCTTCCTACCGGTCAACTTATTGAAGAACCTGTTCTATGCTGTAGGATGGGTCATTCTATCCTACATTGACTGCACAAGCCTTTCACATTATTCACCATACTGCTTTCTCGATGCTCTCCATAATAATGAGTGATGCTAAATATTTAATTTTTAAATTATTTTATTATTGAGTATTGATTATGTTAACAAGAAAAGTGAATAAACAAACAGATTATAAGGGCCCCCAAAATTATTCTAAAATACTTGGAACATAAAATGTCGTCATCCGACTATAGTTTGGCCCCCGCCTTGTATTTATTCACTTTGAAGAATTGTAGCAATACATTTTATTCGCATTAAAAAGATTTAGTTTAAGGTTGATAGAAAGCCCTTGAGTATTATAGTTTGATTTAAAGGGACTGTAAGCGTAATTTCAAGTGGCCCTTCATGCAATTATTCGAATTTGACACTTGAGCCTGGAAAAACGACAATATCTTCCACATTACTAATCATTATTTATCATTTAAAGGTTTCTAAGGCACCGTGTAAATCGGGTATTGTCACCTATGCAAGGGGGGCACTTAAAATTTCGCTTACTGCTCCTTAATTTGAGTAAGTAAATAAAAACTTAAGGTTAAGGTTAAAATTTGAAAAGAAAGTTTGAGTTGGTTACTGATTGAAAACTTGTCATCTATCCGACGCAAACTTAAATCTAAACTATCGTTTTAATTTCAAACTTTTTCAAAAATGGTAGAAATACTATCTTAAATTTTCATCATATTGTGTTCGCGAAAAATGAAAGGGGGTATAGGCTTAATGCGAAAAATAATCGCTTTTGATCGCTGCTAATCTGTTGCGTCTATAAGGAGCGAATTGTTAAAACCCACTTATACCGAAGAACGTAACGTCAATACAAATGCAGAAAGGTGCAACATAAAACGCGGATCGTAAAAAAGTCAATTTAGTTCCAAACAAACCATTCAGTTATTACAACCGATAATCATCGATAATTTTTCGACGCATTCGTATTTAGTTCATATTTCATAATATTTTCTATTTTTTATGATCTGATTGTTACTTTTATTCCTGTTTCGAGGATTTTTGATAATGAAGACGACATTTTCATATTTTCCAGGAGTATTCGATAATCCAGCGCCAGAGAAATATCTTTAAAAAACGAAATCAAAAATATAAAATATAAACTATATACAAATGTGGCGAAAGATAATCGATGACTATAGTTTGTAATATCTGAATGATTTGTTTGAAATTAAATTGATCTTTTACGGTCGTATGTTGTATGTTGAAATTTTCTCAATTTGTATGGACGCTAAGTTATTCGGTATGAGACATCTTTAACAATTTTTTCCTTATAGACGCAACAGATAGAAGTAAGATTAGTAGCAATCAAAAGCGCTTTTTTATCGCATTAAGCCTATACCCCCTTTCATTTTTCGCGAACACTCCCTTTAAGAGTAAATCTTATTCCTATTTTTTTGTATATATATTATATGTGTGTGTTTTCGTTAAATCTTTTTTAAAATTGAAATAAATAATTTTGAACAAATTTATTTTCTTTCATAATTAATTTTCAAGCAGAATACAACTTTTTGTCAAGATTACTCTACAGCATTTAAAAGTATTCTTTTAACAACTTGTTTAAAATACGACAACTTAGCAAGTTGGCAGGGAGTTAAAGGTGACAGTTTCTTGGACAATGACATGCGTGCAAAATTGAAAGGAAAAATGACCTGTGTATGTTGGTAATGAATACAAGCTTCAAAATATTTTAAACACTTTGAAATATTGTGCTTAATTGAGTTTTAGTTGGAACAAGACTCCTCACACAACAGAATAATTATCGTACACTAAACCCATTGTTAACTAATATTGCCAGAGTGTCCCGTGATATATGAGACACATTTTAAACAATTTTAGTTAAAATAAAAAATCAAGGTCTAGGAATTTCCAAAGTGTGGCCTGCATGCAAGATGGCATAAAGATAAATACATTAAAAGAAGGTTGACAAAATTAGAAAAATCTCAAGATTTGGAAATTTAATCAAGCATCGTATGCAGATCCACTTTAAGTCCACGCGATTGCCACACCATGCAGAGACAACTTTAATTAAGAGATTAAGCATTGATCCTCAAATTTATAAGTGCTTTTATTGAATATTTAGATCAAGTGTTCAAGATTTGCAATATCAGTTAATAGAGAACATGTAGGTCAATAAAATGCTGACCGAAACATAATTTACGGTGCTGGATCAGCAACATGCAGTCATCAGCTAAAATTAAATCCCATAAAAATGTTATCGCACTGATCAGGTTGGGGAAACTGTAACCTTAAGGGTCATTTATCCTAAATAACCCCCCTCCCCCCCCCCATTCTTAAACTTATACTCCCCAGCCAACAGATTAGTCGAATCCTTCATATTTTGCTCTATATTAACAGTTAGTCTAATTCGAATTCAGGACGTGAATATATCATATTTATTATTTATTCATAAATTTCAAAATTGTTAAAATTGTCCAAAAGAATCTTAGAAAATTGAGCTAAATACTAATTTAACTATTGTTTTAATTACAACAGATTTCTAAAGATATTTGCATAGAAACAATTTAACAGATGACTAAATACGATTATACAGTTATACTTGAAAAATTAACAGATTACATTTTATTTAAATTTAGAATATGTCTAAAAAGAATAGGGCTAAACAATATATTTTTAGTAAAAAAAAAAAAAATACAGATTCTATTTTATACTAAATAATAATTGAATTGCTAAAGAATTTACTTTAGGTTTGGTTGCATAATACATACAATACATTAAAATACAATTTTCCAAAAAATAACCGAACTATTTTGTACAATGTACAGAACATCTACTTTATATTGAACATGAGAATATATTTCATGAAAACTTGTAGGATATTCTGTGTATCCTAATCAGATCCCAAGAGAACATAATTCAGTCGGTGTCAGACTCACTAGTAACAATATAACAATCAATCAATCAAACATGCATCCAGGCCATAATCCGGGGTGTATATTTTCTCAGAAAATCAATTTCCTTCCCCCCCTTTTGGAAAAAATTTTTCCTCCAGAAATTATATAAATATATTTTTTAAGGGTTTTATTCACTGAATTAAGGAAAATAAATGAATTTTAAGGTAAAAAGTATCGAAATCAAAAAGTATAAAAAAGTTTCCTTAAAAAGCACCCCCCCCCCCTCGGGAGTGGGTAAAACTGAAAAATATACACCTCTGTAATAATCATAGGCGCAACTAAGGGAGGAGGAGAAATGAGAGGAGAAAACAATTTTACATTTACAGTATGCAAGGTTACGCACAAAGGATAAGACTGTAAAGACGACTTGAAACTTTAGACGATTCCAAGGTTGAGCTAAGTCTTCTGGCTTTGATAATTTAAATAAATTTCATACAGTCGTCTCTGAAGTATTATCCTTAGTGGGTAACCCTTTATCCCATTTTTATAAGAGACAGCTAAAGAATTTGTATAAGGTTGTCTTCAAAATTGTTAAGCTGTATTGTTTATTCCAAGCTATCAAAGATTTCTTCTCTCAGCTTCAAAGGAATACGTATGTTATTTAATAAAATATAATCAAAATTACGTGTTTAAAAATTCATTCTTTAAAAAAATAAATAGATAGTCCTGAAATACGCAGGACAGTTATCAAACAGATTTATATTTGATTGGTCATAAAAAAGCTTGGTACACCATGAAAATGCTTTTATTGCACTTATTTGATACATATTAGTCAGTGCTTAGGATCCGGATCCTTTGGATCCCCAAGATTTTGTCTTCCTGGATCAGGATCCAAGGGGAAAATTTTTACCAAAAACTGCAAAAAAAATGCCAAATCGGAAATGTTGAAAAAAAAGATTATAAAAAATTTCCTGATCTCTGAATGGTTCATCAAGGTTTAGCATAAAAATAAGCGAAAAAAAGACGGAAAATAATTTTACATTTCTGCTTTGCTAAAAAATTGAGTATACCTTAAAGAAATGATTATGACCTTGATCCGGATCCTTTTTTTTCCCAATGCGGATTAAGGAATACGGATTAAATTAATCCTAAGCAATGATTAGTTGCATGAATATTCAACAAAAAATCTTTTGAAAGGGATAACCTACAGTGATATATGGAGTTTTTCTTTAACTTTAACTTTATGTGAAAAAAAATATTTCTGGGTTTTATGATTTGCTTAAAAAATATTAACAAAAAGATATTTAATACCTTACCTTGAACTCTTTGTTAATACAGGAACACGCTCTGCAGTTCTCCTCGGAACCTTATAAATCCTCAATGTATTTTTTGCATTTAAAAATAATTTTTAGGGATTAAATTAACACAATGAAGACAAATTTTTATTTAAGTTTTGATTGTTAACGAGCTTTTTTTCGAATTAAAGTTTGTAAGTAATCAAAGAGAAGCTTTTTTAATTGACAGGTTCTCTTGACTACTTTGTTTATGTGTATCCATGGGCTTGATGAAAATCAAAATTGAAATCAGGAGTCGTCTTCCTTGTATCGAAATATTGTATATTGTATGTTGTAATCTACATATATAAAAGAACATAACCTTTAGTTAAGGATTTTCTAAGACCTTCAAATTCCTTTTACTTATTTGTATAAAAATATCTAATAATTGAATTTGCTCAGTTTTTTTTTCCTTTATTAAAATGTGTTTTCAAGGAAGTCTGAAATAGGCTTACAATTGTATTCTAGTTTTCTTCATCGTGGAGCATGCAATTTACTGACAGTTTATCTTTTTATATTTCTTCTTACTTTTTATGTACTCTGTAGTGATAACCAGAAAACCCTGGAATAGGAAGGCGACTTTTAAACTCAAATTATAGTCCAATGAACATGAAACACTGCAATTGTGCAGTGACAACAGTCTAATTTTACTAAATGCTTTGTAACAACATTAAATACACTTAATTATTGCTTTGATATTATCTTTTTATTCCACAGTTTTCTGGTTCTAACTGTATTTAAAATTGAAGTATTTTACAGAGGGTTTCCTGATTAAAAAAAATTCTCTTTCTCACTTTTAAACCTCTTTCCTTTTCAATATTCCCGGATAGGCCATCCCTTTCTCCTGCACCTTCTCCTTTCCTGGATACGCCATCATTCCCTCCAACACTTTCTCCATTCTCTGATACACCATCCCTCCCTCCAGCACTTTCTCCTTTCTCTGATACGCCATCTCTCCCTACAACACCTTCTCCTCTCCCACTCATTCCTTTAGATTGTTTAGATGTATTATCCTCATTTAGAGATACAAGAGAACTGTTGGGGGTATTAACAAACGGTTCAGAAACTCATAAAATCACTAAATTAGGAATGCATTTCAAGGAACTGAGTTTTTGCCACTAACTCAAATTTTCTATTCAATATATCTTTGCAACCTCAGGGTATACACTTTTTGATAGTTTGAAATATCTAAGGTTGACGACATCAGATTAAAGCTATAGGGTTTAAAAATCGGAGTTAGTGTCAAAAACTCAATTCCTTCAGTACAAAGTTCCCAATGAATAAGCCTTGAATGACGCCCTTGAAAGAATGCAAGAAAAAAAACTGTAAATTTGTCTTTAACGTCACATTCTTTGTTGGTTACCCGGTATGCAAGGGATAAAACATATATTATCATTGAGTTCCCAGTGTAAAGGAATTGAGTCTTTGGAACAAAATCAAATTTTTAAACCACAATATCTTTAGAACTCGTTGTTGTAAACCTTTAATATTTCAAACTCAGATTAATTGATCTAACAGAATTCATAGTTTGAAATATCTAAGGTATGCAACATTTGGTTCCAAAGATATAGTGATTAGAAAATCAGAGTTTGTGGCAAAGACTCAATTCCTTTGTCTTAAAAAGTAAATGTCTATTTCTTTACAGTTTGTATTATAATTTTTAGAAAGTTCTCATTATTGTCGTTCCCAAAAAAATTCTCTTTTTCTCATTAAAAAATAAAAATGTGCAACAATTCTTTGTAATTAAAAAATATTGTCAATCTTTTTAGGTTAAATGAAGTTTTTGTTGAACATATTTATAATGTTTATATTGAAATGTTCATGTTTTAACTAAAATGACCTGAATCGTTTATTTGAATCTTTAGGATAGAAAGATCATTCTCTACTTCATCTTCAGAAGAGTCTTGAAGAGCAGTTGTCTTCCAATCATCGTCTAGTTCAACACTACTACTACTACTGAAATCCAACAGTTCAAAAGGATTGGTATTTTGAACGTAATGATCCCTTCCAGAGTAGCTCCCACTTTTGCTGATTTCATGATGATCATGATTCTTGGATTGTTTAACAACCTCTCCTTTCACAGGATCATCCAGCAACAAATGATCATTTTCATCACTGTCTTCTGAAGATGTAGAAAGACAGTAGTTTTCCAATTTATTTTTTCCAAGATTTAATGTTGATTGAATTCTGGATTTAGGGGTTTTGACAACATGCCCTCTAATCTCTTGAGGACCTCCATTTTTATTTTCACTGCTCTCGTCTGAAGAGGAGGAGAAGATGGCGTTTCCAAACTTACGACCATTCTTTCCATGATTCATCATTGGTTGGTTTACGGACATTGTGGTCTTCAGAATATTTCTACTGCGTATAACTTTGCTAAATGAGCAACTTCTTGTGGATAGCTCTGGAGATGAGTTAGAATCATTAAATAGTTCAGAGTTTAAGGAGGGTTGTGTAACAATGCTTAACTGTGTGGGATTTGGAGTAGGAAAAGATTGTAGATGGTTGGGATCAGGGCGCTGGTCAGATTGTAGGGGTTTGGGGTAAGGGCCCTGGTTGGATTGTACGGGGTTGGGATCAGGGCAGTAGTCGGATTGTAGGGGTTTGGGGTCAGGGCGCTGGTTGGGTTGTACGGGGNATATCTTTGAAACCATAGGATTGTAGGGGTTTGTGGTCAGGGCGCTGGTTGGATTGTATCGGGTTGGGATCCGGGCAGAGGTTGGATTTTAGGGGGTTGGGATCATGGCGCTGGTTTGATTGTAGGGATTGGGGATCAAGGCCCTGGCTGGATTGTAGGAGGATGGGATCAGAGTGCTGGTTGGATTGTAGGGGGTTGGACTTTGCAGGAATGGTATCAGTGTTCTGATTAAACCTTGGAGGCATGGTATCAAGGTTCTGGTTGTACTCTGAAGATATAGTATCAAGGTTCTGGTTGAACTGCAGAAGTATGGTATCAGAGTTCTGGTTGGACTGTGAAGGACTAGGATCAGGGTTCATGTTGGACTGTGGAGGGCTCAAGTTTGAGTTTGGAGGTGAGGGAGGAGGGCAATGATTTGACAATTGAGAGGTGGGATGATGTTTCTGGTTGGACTGTGGAGGGTTCAAGTTGGAGCAGAGATTGGACTGTGGATTATCTGGTTGAGTGTTCTTGTCAGGTTGTAAAGGGGTTGGGTTTGAAAAATAAATATTAGGAGAATATGTCATCTGAGAGTAATTATCCAACCAGTTGATTAACTCCTCTCTATACCCTCCTGGCACTACTAAACAAAATAAACATTGACTCAGGCTCATTCTCCATAGAAATAAAGTCAATAAACAACAATCTTTTTTCCCTTTACCTAAAATAAGACTCTTTTAAAAAAAAGTTTAAATGATAATTTACTTAATAACTGCGTACAAGGACAATTAACTTTCTGCAAAATTTACAGGATTTGGAGTTAATGTTGCAAATTCCTCATGAGCTAAATGAGTTTTTAAATAACAAACTCACATCAAAACTACCCAGGTCAACATGATAGTTGTAATCAAACTAATAAATCAACCCAGTGTTCTTAATGTCGTGCATAGTTTGTAAAAATCACTATTAAAAAAGAATTCTCATACCTGGTGAAAACTTTAAAACTTTTTCAGGTATTTCATTCTTGTCAGTTTGATATTCATCTAAAGCAGGCATAAAGTTCAGTGAATTTGGAGTATCTATAGCATTTAGAGCATCTAGAGTCTCTGAAGCAATTGAGGCTTCTAGAGTGTCTATAGCCTCAACGGAAGCTTCAACTCCTGCTTCATCTATACCAGTTCTGGATTTCTCAACATCAGCAGCTTTCTAGAAAGAGTCAAAAGAAGAAATAAATTTACGAACAAAATTAAAAAATTGATATTGCTATACATAGAAATATCTAAAGCAATGTTAGAAAGTACCACTTGTTCTGCCATCTTCATCAGAACCCATGACAGGCAGAGATAATTATTAACATCTATAACCAAACACCTTGATAGATGTGTCTAATAATATACCTGGATAGATGTGTCTCATAGTATACCTAGAAAGATGTGTCTAACAGTATACCTAGATAGATGTGTCTGATAGTATACCTTGATAGAAGTGTCTGATAGTATACCTTGATAGATGTTTCTGATAGTATACCTAAATAGATGTGTCTGATAGTATACCTGGATAGATGTGTCTGATAGTATACCTAAATAGATGTGTCTGATAGTATACCTAAACAGATGTGTCAGAAATTATACCTGGTTAGATGTGCCTAATGTGTCTTCTAGTTGATTGAACCTTCTATTTTCTTCTTCTTTCCTTACTTCTTTTTTCTTTCTGCTCTTGCTTGATTCAACTAAAAAGTAAAGTTAGATAATATTAACTTTGGTTTACAGTTCGTGATTACAGATCATACTTGCATAACTTGTATTGGCTTGACATGACAAATTTAAATCATTCAAGTTTTTAGACTTTCAAAATTTTATATTCTACAATCTACATGTTTGCTCTTAATAGTATGCAAAATCATAACTTTGTCAGTAAAGGCCTTGACAATTTTTAAATCATTCTTTAAAAAGCAAATTTGAAAGCCAAAAACCTTTGGATGTTAAGGAAACGAATAAAATAGAATGCCCAACATGCACCATAATAGTCAAATATACACATATTGTATATGAACAGATACAGGGTTACCCATAAAGGATGAGATTTAAAGAAGACCTGAACTCTTAAAATATAAAAATTTAGTCTGATGAAGTCCCTGTTTTGTGGGTAATCCTGTTAATAAACACATACCTTTTAATTTGATTTACGGAATTTTGCAACAAAAAAATTAAGTAATGGAGCAAAGAAGAGCTCAGTATCATTTGCCATAATCATAATAACTTTGCCATCCTAACTTTGTCACTTGTAACATTTGCTTCATAACTATGTTTACACTTTAGGCCTAACCTAGCAAACTTAAATAACGAATATCTCTAATTCTATCATATTATATTTACAATTCTAGTGTGCCAAATTTATCCTTTAATGCAAGTGTAACTTATGGCGAACTTATCATAAGTGCGACTATGGAAAGCAAACAAAGCCCATTAAAATAAAAAAATTAAAATAAGGAAAAACTTATTTAATTTAAATTTTTTAAATGACATAGAAGTTACCAAATAGATTTAAAAATTCCAGGGGAATACATTCTTTCCATTAACTCACCCATCCTTCAGGAATATTTCCAAAGTCCCCCCTGATTACAATCAGTATCTAAGATTAATATCTAACAAAGATGTATCTTACTGGCTTGTTTTTCTTACAAACCTGATAGAGAGAGATTGGAGAGAAGAGAGTTTAGCTGATATATTCTTTCAGAACTTTGTTCTCTAAATATTATAGTAATGCATACAAACATGTTCAGCAACTTACAAAAACTATATATTACATAACTATATGAAAATTATTAGAAAAATGGAAGAAAAACAGCCGCTAGCCTGAGACTTGGTTTTGAATTTTCAGTGAGTAGGAAATAACAAAATAATAAATAATTCATAATACAAACTTCCAAGGGGTATATATTTATAAAGAAACCATTATGGGAGAAAGTGTTCAAAATTAAATAGAAAAAAAATGTTTCCTTATTAAAAATAAAACTCAATTTTTAGGTAATTTGTGATTTCTTTTAATAAAGTAAAACTAAATTGTGGTTTTTTGCAACATTATTCATACTGTAAATAAACTGACAACCTTTCGATTAAAGTGGAAAAATATTCAACATTCATCAAAAACAATGTGATTATCTCAAAGCTCTAAATAAAATAAAATGTAAATGTAAGTTATACATTATGTAAAGAAAAGGATTGAATACCTCTGATGAACAACTCCCTCTAATATTGTCTGGTTTCTCTCTTTCATATTCACAATATCGTTCTTCAATCAGACAAAACTATTGAAATACAGTAACCCCCCCCCCCCCCATGATGTTATATTAGAATTTAGAAAGACAATTAATTTATGAGATTGTTTAAAAAGAACGAATTTCAATTTAATCTGCAATATTTTTTCTAAGAAGTTTATTGGGGTGTTTATTTTTTAGAATGATTTTGGATAATTTGAGTAAAATAAATGTAAAATTGAACATAAAAATGCAAGTCTTAAAATTCTTTTTGATACCTTTTTATCCCAAAATTTAATTATTTCAAAAAATTCAGCGTATAAAACCTTAACAAAATTGTGTGTGCTCTGCAGAAACATGCATAACTTCTGGAAAAAAAAAATTCTAAGGGGGGGGAGTGGAAACTATACACCCCTAAAAGTTTAATGCACTGTGATATCTGTGAAAAATTATGCATTGTTTTAAAATTCAATCCATAATATTTGTTCAATTTTAAGATTTGAAAACTGTGCAGTTTTAATTAATTTTTTTAGTCAGAATGCCTGAAGTTTTGAGATAATTGGATTAAAGATTTTCTCCAAGTTTCTACCAATATTTTCCTCTATCTTTTCCTTGTAACCCTGCACAGAAAACCAAACAAATTTGCAAGAGTTAAGTTATAAGTTATCCTTTGAAACTTTATTGAAGAAATAATCATGCAAAGATTTCAGCTTTTTTTCTGAATTAAGACAATTTACTGCCATGTCGTTTCTTGTGATATGAAGTCCATAAGTATCTTTTTGGAATTTTAGAAGAAAAATAAAGATATATTTTTTATCACAACTTATATAACATTTCAAGTTTACCTTGTAAAATGCTTGTATTAGTGAAGGGTAACTTGAAGATACTTTCTTTAATAGGAAATATTTTTCTTAAAAAAAAGAGAAAATAATGATATTTATTTGGTTCCTCTATATCAAGAGTGTTCGCAAATATAGTGTTCAGGGTTTCATCAAATCCTTCCTCTACTTCTGCAACTAAATATGTGTATATTATTGTATATTCTGCTGTTTACTATATCTTTATTCTGCATACTTCTTTCAGGCTAGTTTTGAATTTGAACTTACTTCCAGTAAGATGATGCGATTGGAATAATAAGAAAATTGGGTACTCAGGTTCTTTATTTTCAATAGAATAAACTTCACAACATTTTAACTAAAATCAAGATATTATACTAGAAAGGCAAGGTTGAGTAATGTAAATAACGAAGGAGAAAGAAGTAAAATTAGCAATGAACACTACATTTTTATGAAGATTTATTAAAATGATCTTTTGTATGATGATTTTTTGGCCATCTGGGTAAATGTATTTTAAAATTTTAAAATTTCTGAGAAAATGCATAAACTTAAAACTATTATATTACCTGTTTCATCTACAGAAATTATGCTTTTCGAAATCTCTAAGGCCAATACATCCTGGAAGTCCCTGTATCTGTGGAAAATCGGGTCCACTGCACACAATAATTGAAATTTAGGTTTCAAAGGTACGGTTTTTTCTAGAAAAATCAACCCCCCCCCCTCTGTTAAAACTGTTTATTTGGGGGGTCTTCGTCGTTAAATTAGGTAATCTTCTTATTAATAAATCATTTTAAGAAATAAATAAAATTTGGATAGCTCAACTAAAAATCGAGCTTTCTTTATTATTTATGGCTTCAACTTTAGAGATGGGCATTGGTTTATCATTTTTTTTAACATCCAAGATTCTTGGCAGTCCAGAGACTCCAAAATAATAAAAGAACATAACAAAAGAATATATTCTCTCTCAAGTTTGGTTTTATAAAATCATCAAATATTCCCTTTGGCATAAGAAATAAGCTAGCGCGAATCAAAAGCAATACATAACGATGCAATTTAAAATTCGTTCAGTTTCTATCTTCTGACAGAGTCAACATTTTTCTATATTGAAATAAAAGCCAACATCAAGAGCTTACAGATTGTGGTGAGCCTTCTGATAGCCCAAACCCCCTAGATGGTTGTAAAAACAGGGGGGGGGGGGAACTCTGCTTTTTAACCATTGTCAAAGGAAATTAGTCTTTACCACAAACTATGATTTTCTTATCCCAATATCTTTGCAGTCCAAGTTCTGCTAGATCAAATAATCTTTTTTGAAATATCAATGGTTTACACCATCAGATTGCTGAGATATATATCGGATTAGAAAATTTATGGTAAAGAATCAATTCTTTTGTCCAAGAGCTCACTCATGTTAGTAATACAAGGATTTGTAAATCAAATGTTACCTGATCCCTCGTAGCTTGACTTTAGATTTGAGCTTGGTCTCCACTTTACAGACTGAAATAATAGATAAATATTTTCTATCATCTTCTATATATATATTGCAGTAATCTCTGTTTGTCTGTTTTTATGTCCGTTCATAAGTCATGAACCTCTTGGCCGATTTGCCTCAAATTTGCTTAGACAACTCGGTAAAATCATTGTTTATAGCTGATTTTAAATTTTTCAGTTCAGTGGGTTGCTATTTTAAAAGATAATTTAGTTACAGACAACACTTGGTCCCATCACAGCTCATGAACCCCTTGGCCGATTTGCCTCAACTATTAATCAGGGAACTCAGTAGAACTACGGTAATATAGATAAAAAATCTAAGTTGAGTAGGTTGACTTTTTAATAGGGAAAATTAGTTTCCAAGCAAAGCTGAGTTCACAAGCTGTAATATATCAACAATTATGAAAATCTTTAAGAGGAAAAAAGGAAGATAGAAAAAGTTTAAAACTTGAGTTAGAAAAAAGTAAAACTTCTACAGAATAACACAAAAAAGAAATGGCAAAAGTTTAGGTTGCAGAAAAGATAACAGAGTGCGAAACTTTTGTTTACGATAGTGCTTGGTTTCAAAGACTAAACTTGATAACGATATCTACTGATTAAACTTGAAGTTAAAATCGGGGAAATTCATCAATTTCCAGCACCATTGATGACACTTGACCTCCAATAAATATTAAAATGTTTTCAAATTTAATGGATTTAACCGTTTTTGGAAAAGCGTTACATCACAAGTTTTGCCCTAAATTTACATTCAGAAGTAAATTTTAATTACTTAATAAGTAAAATTTACCTCAGCTGGGATATTCATTATCTTCTCCAAATTTACCCTTTTCGTCAAAACCTTTACAATATCAATTCTTAAAATGAGCCTTCAAAGGGAGTGTCTGGCTAGACATGGTAGTTGAGCTGAGAGTCCAGTATTGTAGAGAAATTTGATATAAATCATTTTAGACCTATATGACAGTGTAAAATTGATATAGGCAGGTTTACAACATGAAATTCTTCAAAGATATATACATTTTTAAAAGAGCCTAAAACCTAATGACAACAACACTATTTTGAATTTTAACAAAATGTTCTTGGGTTCTCCTCTCGTCTAAAGGAATTGAGTTTCTGCCGCCAACTCTAATTTTCTAATTACTATATCTTTGAAACCATATGTTGTAAAACTTGTTTTTCAAACTAAAAATTTTGTTAAATCAAATAGTTTAGATTTGAAATATCAAATGTTTATACCATTAGGTTGCACAGATATAGAGATTATGTTCATTTTATGATTAAACCATTACATATCGTGACAGTACACAAAAGTCGTATATGTACAGGATTAACAACAAAGGACGAGACTTCAGAGACGACTGTACGGAATTTCATCAAACTTTTCAACTGAACGTCCTTATAAAGTTCTTTTATGGGAAACCCTGTATGTATTTAACTAATTATAATATCTAAAAGATTAAACTTAAAATATTTTCTTAAAAATAATAATCTGAAAGAGAAGCCAAACAAATCTGCACAAGATAAAATATTTCGATTTCTTACTGAATAGTTTCCATACATTTTGAAAATGTAATTTTTTCGTTCTAAACTCAAATGTTTCCCCTTTACTTTTTTCAGTTTCTATATACAGGGTGAGTCAAAAAAAGTATGATTTGCGGCGCCTGGTGCAAAATTGTACCTTTTTTGTGCAACTCTCCTGTATGGTGTTTTTTCAATATTTTTTGAAAATTTGTAATTTTTTTTGGTACTCCAATGGGCGAGAAGAAAATCCGCGAATCTTTTTTTTCTCTCAAAATCAAAAGTTCAGAAAAGCAAAAATGTGCATTCATATTATTTCTCTCTAAATCTAAAGTTTTATTAAAGTTGAATCTCAGAATCACAGAAAATTGGAAAATTGTAATAAGAAAATTCGCAATTTTTAGTTCTGGGCTAATTTTTAAGGAAAGTTATTTAAATTCTCTAGTTCCTTTCTTCTTAGTATATTCTAAAGTATTAAATATACGCTGTTCAGTTGAAACCTTAAGAATCATTGAAAAACAATTTTTCCGTAAAAATTATACCAGAACTGAAAATTGCGAATTTTCTAATTACAATTTTGTAAATTTTCTGAGATTCTGTGATTCAATCTTTTTAAAATTTAAAATTTCGATAGAAACAATTTATTTACACATTTTTGTTTTTCTGAACTTTTGATTTTGAAAGAAAAAAAAGGATCGCGGATTTTTTTGGACCATTGAAGTACCAAAAAAATTACAAATTTTCAAAAAATATAAAAAAAACACCATACAGAAGACTTGCACAAAAAAGTTACACTTTTGTACCAGGCGCCGCAAATCACACTTTTTTTACTCACCCTGTAGTCATAACCATGGAAAGACCCTGAATTAATTGACAGTTAATCAGACGACTTTACTGATATATTTCTGGTAATTTTAAGCGCCCATAAAGGCAGACAATATTGTTATTATCATCATTTCATTAATTATATTTGTAAAATTAGATTGTAAAGTCGTCTGATTAATTAAAAGTTAATTCCTGGTCTTTCTGATTATGACTGTATATTTCTAGTTCAGTAATTTTATTATTTTAAATAAATTATTGTTTGAATATCAACAATGAAACAAAAGATAAAGTTCAACAATGATTTTACTTTATAGGGGACTGTCGTCGTAAATTCAAGTCCGATTCACTTAAATCCTCAGTCTGAGCAACACAAAAAAACATATTTTAATTATTTTCAATATAAAAAGACGACATCTTCCTCATAATTAAAGATCCAGTAATAAATCGAGAACAGTAATAATTAGATAACAATGGAATAGGAAGACGACATTATAGCAATATTTAATTGTATTTGATGTTGTTACAAAACAAATAGTCTTACTAGACAGTAGATTAATTGAGTGAAATGGGTTTGTTTACACTGCACAATTGATGTCTCTCATGCTCATTGGAGTTATTAAAGTCGTAACTTGGTTCTTAAAATCGTCTTCCTATTTCATAGTTTCTTGGTTATCATTGTCTGAAATAGATCGTCTATTGAAATTATGCTAACAGACCCTTTGGGCAGACAATCACCTTGGAATCTCTTCTTTTACTAATTCCTCTGTCAGAAATCCCGACATCAAATCTAACCTAAGATAAAACACTCTTTCTCTCCTCGAAGATAGGCAACATTGTTTGAAGGTAATGGTTGAGATGCTAAAATAAAAAATATATCTACACATAGTATCCCAGTTTAATTTAACTAATAAAAGATGTTTCTAAAAAACAGAAAGATTTATTTGCCGTGATCGCAGAAGCAAAGTTCAATTGGTCTCATATCATTGGTTATCAGAGATGTATTCAGGGGGGGGGGGTATAAGGGCTCAGCCCCCCTGGATCAGTGAAAATTATGATTTCTGGTTTTATTTTTGGTGCCAACAGGTGCTGAGGGGCTCTTGACAGAAAAAATTTCCTGAATACATCCCTGTCAGTTATGTATGTTTCTGAACGCTTTTTGAATGGTTGATAAAAGAGCCAATGCTAAGAGATTTAGAACAAGAGAGACGCAAAGTCTACTTTTCTGGCTTTAGGGACAATGACATATATATTTAAGTTAGTTGTGTTCTTTAAAGGAAGTGACCGGCAATGTATGGTAGTTGAACTGAGACCGTAGTATTGTGGAGAAATTTTTTAAGACTCATTTGAGACATATACAACGTGATATTAATTGATGTATGATTATTGAGTTTGCGCGCAAAGTCGACGTTCAAAATCATCCATTTGGGTGGTTACGTTTTAAGAATCGATTTTTTAAAAAAAATAATAAAATAACGTCGAGAAAAAAAGTAAAAAAATTCTACAATAAACTGATGGCATAAATAGATTACAAAACAAATAGTCTTACTAGACAGTAGATTAATTGAGTGAAATGGGTTTGTTTACACTGCACAATTGATGTCTCTCATGCTCATTGGAGTTATTAAAGTCGTAACTTGGTTCTTAAAATCGTCTTCCTATTTCATAGTTTCTTGGTTATCATTGTCTGAAATAGATCGTCTATTGAAATTATGCTAACAGACCCTTTGGGCAGACAATCACCTTGGAATCTCTTCTTTTACTAATTCCTCTGTCAGAAATCCCGACATCAAATCTAACCTAAGATAAAACACTCTTTCTCTCCTCGAAGATAGGCAACATTGTTTGAAGGTAATGGTTGAGATGCTAAAATAAAAAATATATCTACACATAGTATCCCAGTTTAATTTAACTAATAAAAGATGTTTCTAAAAAACAGAAAGATTTATTTGCCGTGATCGCAGAAGCAAAGTTCAATTGGTCTCATATCATTGGTTATCAGAGATGTATTCAGGGGGGGGGGGTATAAGGGCTCAGCCCCCCTGGATCAGTGAAAATTATGATTTCTGGTTTTATTTTTGGTGCCAACAGGTGCTGAGGGGCTCTTGACAGAAAAAATTTCCTGAATACATCCCTGTCAGTTATGTATGTTTCTGAACGCTTTTTGAATGGTTGATAAAAGAGCCAATGCTAAGAGATTTAGAACAAGAGAGACGCAAAGTCTACTTTTCTGGCTTTAGGGACAATGACATATATATTTAAGTTAGTTGTGTTCTTTAAAGGAAGTGACCGGCAATGTATGGTAGTTGAACTGAGACCGTAGTATTGTGGAGAAATTTTTTAAGACTCATTTGAGACATATACAACGTGATATTAATTGATGTATGATTATTGAGTTTGCGCGCAAAGTCGACGTTCAAAATCATCCATTTGGGTGGTTACGTTTTAAGAATCGATTTTTTTAAAAAAATAATAAAATAACGTCGAGAAAAAAAGTAAAAAAATTCTACAATAAACTGATGGCATAAATAGAAACAGGTTGAGAAAACAAAAATTAACTCTTAAAATAAAAATTTATGTAATGTCTCACTGTTCACAAACATCTTCTGCAGATTTCCTGAAATTTTTATTAAAACGGCGACATTTTAAGAAATCTGCGAACAAATTCGTAAGGAATAAGAAATTCATAATACTGACGAAAAATAAATAATTGATTTTAACATTGATTTATAGACAAATTTCTTTTGAGAAATAATGTTTCTAAACATCAAATTAATTAACTGTAGAATTATTTTCTACATTCTTCGTCGTCGTTATTTAATAATTTAAAAAATCGATTCTCAAAATGTAACCACCCAAATGGATGATTTAAAACTTGGACTTTGCGATCAAACTCAGTGATTATAGATCATTAACACGTTTTAATTCTCAAATGAACCCTAAAAAATTTCTCAACATTGCTACATTCTCGGTTCAATTACCATATATTGTAGGTCACTCCCTTTTCTCCTTATCTAAAAAAGATATTTCAAATAAAAAATAAACAACTCCCTCCCTTAAATACTGAAGAAATTGATCTGAATTGTATAACATTCAGTTTTTCTCTATCACTTCTTATTTTTGTTTCTAACATCTGCCAGCCTTTAATACAACATGTAAATGGTTACCCACAAAGGATGAGACTGTAAAGTCGACCGGAAATGGTCTATTTAATGATTTGGCAAAAAAAAAACAAGTTCACAAATTCTTGATAATCATGAATAAAAGGAAACAGACAGTATAAATTCCGTACAATCGTCTCTGAAGTCTCATCCTTTGTGGGTAACCCCCCTGTGCATCATAATTTTCGGAATAACCAAACTCACCTTCTTATTCTCCTTGCCTTTACTTCCATGTTTAATTGATGAGAGAGTCTGTTCGCTATTACACTACAAAAATCACATAAAAAATTCATCATTCTATAATTTATTTTTCTCATATCACACAGGATCGCTTGCCTGNACACTTCATTCTGAAGTCTCTACATGACTGTCCTGAAGATTCCCAAACAGTTTAAATTTATTCGCTCACAATGATTTACATTGTAGTTTAGTAAATTGAATAGTAGGATATGAGTCTATTTGGTTTTAATTTCATGCAGAAATCAATGCGAACACTTTAGAGAATGCCATCAACGGCGTGTTAAAAATTTTAAGGAAGACAAACATAGATATGTTCAGTGTTCACAGTTGTTCCATGGATTAAAGTTCTGTGTAACAATTTCGAAATTATTGTGTTAAAAGGTTATTCTTTTAATTATCCCGCTAAACTGTGTGTGGTTCTATGAAAAGGCTAGGGTGGAAGGGGGGGGGGCATCCCCCTTTCCAGATCACAAAAAGTTTAACTTTATTACATGATATCTTTACTTTTGGTTGAGTGCATGGGGTGGTAATGTACAGGGTGTCCCAAGAAACATGACAGTTGGTGAATAGTTTTAAATGTCTTCTTCCATAATTTGTCAAGTTCTTTAATACCAAAAAGAATTATGAAAAACATCGCTTGGTAGTATTATCATCATAAATTTGATTTCAAAGCAAAATATAATTAAGTAAAAGATTTTTTTGCAAAATAAACTGCAAAAAGTCTTTAATATATAATACTTGATATATAAGAAGACATTCAAAACTATTCACCAACTGTCATGTTTCATGGGACACCCTGTACGCCTGATTAAGTAAAGATTGTACGCAATGAGGTTACGCGGTAGTATTTGAGAAATCAGATGTAGCAATATACTGTTTTATCTATGGTTGAGTGGCACGAAGATAATAAGATAATATACCTGATTAGAACTAGAGGGTTGCAGAGGAAACTGAGGCCGCTGTCTATAGGGTTGGACTCTAGGACCTAATCCTATCTGATCTAAACCTTGAGCTTGGAGAAAGCTTGCTCCTCGTCCTTGAAGATTAGACCTATGGCCTGATGTACATTGTTGACCTTTCTTTTCCTTGGGTTGGTTCCTAGGTAAAGGTAGAGGGGGAACCTTGAACACCATTTCCATTCCAGTTGTCTTCGCCTAATACATTTGCGCTGCTGCGGTGGTAGGCAATTTTATCAATAAAATAAAGACGGCTTTCGATTTCAATTTTAATTTAAATCAAGCTGTTAAACAGCATGGATAGACATAAACATGGAAACAAAGAGAAGCTCTCAATTAAAAAAGCTTCTCTTTGATTACCTATAAACTTGTAATTCGAAAAAAACTTGCTAACAATTGTATAATAGCCTACCACCGTATAAAGATACAAATAATTGTTTCCTTAAAAAGACATAATAATAGTTAAAATCAATCAAAAACAACGGGTTTGCACTCTTAAAGCAATTATAAAACATAAAAACAATATCAGTAGGACTAATGATTGCATCGTTGAACTAAGTACTATAATGTTCGAATGGACAAAAGTTTGTTTGCAGACTAACGTTCAAAATGACTGTAGTCTCTTTACAGTCATTTAAAACAAATATTTCTTCAATTAAGAATATTTAAAACTATAAAAAAATACCGCCTATCAATTTCTAAGATTTTTAACACAAATAAAAATAATGTTATCATATAATATTTCAGGGTTTGGTGGTCCAATTTCAAGCCGCCCTAGCCCGGTTTCTTTGTCCGGTTCTAGCTATGATTTAGCTGCGACTTCCTAGCTTAGCTACTAAAAAAGATTTTTTTAAAACAAAAACAAAACCTTTTTATCTCATATTTTTCTTTTCAAAGATTATTTCTGTTATACTCTTTTTTCTTCATCTTTTATCTCTATCTATCTATCTATGTATTTATTAGTCTATCCATCTATCTAATTTATCAATCATTTTACAATTTAAAGGCCAAAAATCAAAGACGACTTTTTAAAGTGGTCGAGAAAATATGAATGCCCCACAAAATTTTATATTTTTCTGTCAGTTAGGAAGGCCAGCTGTCATCAAATCATAGTCAGAGCAGCTTAGATTGGATTCATGAAACAGATTACTTGTACTTTGACTAGATCTGAAATCATACTAAATCCAACCTCAAAATTTGGACTTATAAACGAGCTTTGACTATGATCTGAAATCTAACCTTGTAGCTATGATCTCAAATCATAGTCAGAGTCAAAGCAAGTTACAGCTCGACAAAGAAACCGGGCTCCTGACTCTAACTTGTACTGCAATTTCAACTCAGCTGTCACATTCCTTTAAGAAATTTGTAATATTAAATGATTATAATGTTTACCACTTCGCTAGCTAGACAGGGATCACTTGGACTTGAACAACTTTCAGGGCATTTTTAAACATTTAAATCTAAGAATATTAAAATATACGTCATTTTTTCTTCATTTAATACATTTTTGAAAAATTTAATTAATATATATCAATTGTTAAATTCTACATAATCACAATTATGAAATTATCAACATCCTTGCCAATTCATTGAATTCATTTAAATTGCATGATAATATGTGCAAAGGTCATGTTCGTCATGTCAACTATTTTAAAGCGTTAAATTCGTCATCAAATACGCACAAGACGCCATGTAATAATCGATTTTACAAGCGGAGCTAAAGAAAAGCGTCAACGATTCTAAAAATGTTATTGCTACTAATGTTATTGTGAAGTAGTCTTCTCTGCCCTCGTCTTAGTTTTAATCAAATTATCAGCTGATTCTCCGGCTGATCTCCGATGGGCGGAAAATAGTTTGCGGCATTTCGGTTCTATTTGCGCACATTGATTTAAAGATTAAAGAGTCACGTCGGCAATTTATCATTTAATTAAAGGGCCTTTGCATCAATAGAATAAAACTTTTTCATACTCTCCGTATGAAATGACTCTTAAACAGTGAAACTTTAAATGGGAGAACAATAATCGAAAAAAGATTCAACACAAATCTTAAAATCAAAAACTTATTTAAACGCAAGTTTGGTACAAAGACTTACTAAATGCGAAATGTTCTATTTTTGCCTCCAACTTCATAACATATGGAAGGTTAAAGAAGTCAGGGGTCTGTTCCAGAGAACGATTTTGGGTCTGTCCTAGTATACGATTTTTGGACCCCCCCCTGCAGCGCTCGGCCCAGAAAGTGTTTTAACTAACCTAACCCGTGGCCCAAGCGCTCAGCCCCCTAGCCTGTCCTAGCCGCAGCGCTCGGCCCAGAAAATGTCTTAACCTATCCTAACCCTAAATAATAGTAAATAAATTCTAATTTGGTCATGTAAAAATTGATAGGAGGGGAGGGGGTCCAAAAATCGTTCACTAGGACGGACCTGATTTTTATTAACGTCACAGTAAAACTTATTTGTACTTTTTTCAGACTTTAAGAAGTGGAAATGATATTTTTTCTTCTCTTTCTTGTCCCGAGTGCCTGGGGGGATCAGAATGTTCTGGGCTGTGGAGGATTTATCAAAGCATCAAAATCTATAGATTTCTCTAAAATAAATGTCCAGTTGTTAACAAAGCAGGGAGGTCTGAAGTATGAGACCGACTGTGCCCCAAACAATGGTTACTATTTTATCCCTGTTTATGAGAAAGGAGACTATATATTGAAGGTTTCTCCTCCCCTTGGATGGAAGTTTACCCCTGAGGAAGTCAGCGTCACAATAGACGGAGAGACTGATGATTGTAGTCTCAACAAGGATATCAACTTTGTGTTTGCTGGATTTGGTGTTGTTGGACGTGTTGTAGCTGACGGGGCAGACAAGGGTCCTGAGGGTGTTGATATTGAGCTTATTACCGGAGAGGAGAAAGCTGTTGTTCAGAAAACTGTGACAGTAAAGGATGGAAAGTATGTTTTTACTGCGGTAGCTGGTGCCGACCACAAGGTTCGAGCACATCATCCCACCTGGCAGTTTGAGAAATCAGTCGGATCTGTTATTATCACAGGAGATAATGCGGCAGCGGAAGATCTTATTGTTGCCGGGTTTGATGTGAGTGGAAAGGTATTGGCTGGGGAGAAACCTATGGCTGGAGTAGAAATTGTTCTGTTTGGAAACAAAGCGTTGAAGAAATGCGCGGATAATTCCAAATCTGAAATTATCGGTCCAGCTGGGAGCATACAGTTGTGTAAAACCAGCACAAACAGTTTAGGAGAGTTTGTATTCCCTGTAGTACCTGGAGGAAAATATTTCCTTTTACCCTTTCACAAGGGTCAACACACTCAGTTTGAAGTAAGCCCCAAGCAGGTTGAGATAACAGTGGATCTTGGATCCGTGAAACTAAAAGATCCCTTTATAGTTGAAGGATTCTCAGTTAAAGGAAAAGTTCTTTCTGGTCCACATGGGAATAAACTTGCAAACACTGTTGTAACCGTATCAGGCCTCAAAACACACACCACTACAACTGACAAAAATGGTGAATACTTCATTGAGAAAATAGAAAGTGGGACGTACACAGTATCCGCAAAATTTGATGGCATTCAATTCTCTGACCTAACAGCTGAAATATCTCCGAGTAATCCCATTCTACCAGATTTAGTTGCTGAGAAGTATCTTGTTTCTGGACAGTTGGACTTCTCCACCGTTTCTCCGGACTCGTCCAGAAAGGTGAAATTAAGTTCAACTGGGAAGCCGGATATGTTAATATCTGTGGAAACTGGTGGACTATTCTCAATCTTTCTTCCTTCCGGTGCATTTTCCGTGTCTGTTGTACCCTCCAGTGTGGACACCAAGATGGGAATAGTGTTTGCTCCCCTTGCCCTGGATATCATTGTCAAATCTGAACCTATTGGAAAACTTTACTTTTCACCAGTTCGGGTAACCATTTCGGGGTCTGTTAGATGTACAGCCGAATGTCCATTCCTGACAATACAGTTAACCCCCGAAGGTCCGGGAGAAGTATCTAAACAAACTGTTGAAAAGGGAAAGTTTAGTTTCCAAAATCAACTTCCCGGAAAATACAGTATCGCTGTGGAGGAGGCAGGACTGTGTTGGGAGAAGCCCTCTATTGCATTCAACATTGAGTCTGAGTCGAAAGAGGATTTGGATTTTGTCCAGACAGGTTGGGGGATGGAGATACACTCATCTCATGAAACAATTCTCAAATTTAAGTCAAAGGATGAAAAAATAACAGGCAAGTGAAAAAGTTATTTTTTTTATTCGATGATGGTGATGGACCAAACCTATGTAGAGTAAAAAAAGTAAATGTTAGTTCCACATTTTTTTTTGTTACCAGAGGCCGAATTTAAATAATTTGAATCGCACCTAGACGTGATTCAAACATGAAACATGGTTCAACCTTGGTTGGTACAACTTGAAATTTTAATAAGCAGTTTTTTTTTAAAGATTTTAGCCAGTGCGCAATTTGAACCAGTGATTGGGAGTTCAGCAACACGGGTTAAGTTAATTGAATTCTGCCTCAGTAATTATTAAATTTGTTTTTCTAATAAAATTTATGTTCTTTATTTGTTATTCTAATTCTAATTTCGATCCTAGGATCTCTTGATATACCTGTTGGTCCTTCAAGTCATTGTCTCCCAGCTAATATAGAATTTATCTTCCAGTCCTCAGGTTGCCATCAGTTCCAGGTAATATTCAGAGGTGTATACTGTTTATTTTCTCGAAAAATCATTTATCTTCCCTGAATTTCGCTGAATTGGGGATAATTTAATTATTTTTAGGGGAAAATCAACGATCTTTTGGGGGGAAAAGTATAAAATATAAATGAAAATTTTTCCTTTTGATCTCCAATATTNCCCGCCACAGGGGGGTGTATTTCTGAATAATATACACCCCTGGGCCCTGGTATTCAATGATAAATAACCGACATCGATCAACAATGAAACTTTCATATCATAGGGAGAGAATAAAGGATTTATTCGAACTCCAAGCGACAAGTTTTCTCTGAGAGCTGAAAAACATCTTGTGTCAGGTTAGTTCAAATCTTTAATGAGCCCCCCCCCGCCCTCTATCACGGGGTATTTATTTATCTTTTATTGATTTTCTGTTCAATTGCTATACTGAAGCCTTATAGAGCATAGAAACAAATCATGAATATATTATAAAATAAATCCGCGTTTTTATCAATACAATGAATACAACTTTTCAACTTCAAGTTTTGATTTCTTACAAGGTTTTTTTTCTTATTACAAGTTTACTAGTGAACAAAGAGAAGCTGTTATTAAACAGATTCCCTGTTTCCGTGTTTATGTGTATCATGGTGTTTGAAAGCTTGGTAAAGATCAAAACCAAAAGTCGTCTTTATTGTAAAGATATACACGACAACAATTTTCGATAATTTTTAGGACGAGTAAGCTCTGTGGAGACTATTCCAGATCTTCAAATAATTGTTCATACAACTACAGAGGTTAAAACTATGGCGCTTACCCAGCCTGAAAACAAGGATGGACTTCATAGCTATAGGTACGGTTGGTTGGTTGGTTGGTTGGTTGTGGTTAAATTGGTGGAATGAGTAAGAAAAGGTTCATTAAGATATGTTGGTTTTCTGCGTCATCCATTTTACGGTTCGAAATAACGAAATAACGGCTTGAAATAGTTCACGACTTAAGTATCATCTCTTGTCAGATTAACATGTTTTGAAAAATCTATCCTTTTTATTAGTGGATCCTTCCCCTCCCCTTTACTTCTTCTACTCGGCGAGCTAATTAGATTTTTGAAAAATGATCATCCTTAACAATTTTTTTAGGTTTAACAATATTTATAAATTAAATAGATGATGGTCAAAGCAATTAAACAGGGGGCTAACACGTCTGCACACACCCAGTCCCGACTCCCGATAACGGTGCCACGACATTTGATCCAGCGACTGGTGATCCAGTCGACACTTGATCCGGTCATTACTGGATCACGACATTTGATCCTTGCGACATATGATCCAGTCGACCTTTGATCCATAAGAGAATATGGCCATTTGATCCAGGGTAAATTTAAAATTGAACGTTTTATTGTTTGTAACTTTGTATCCTACTGTTGTAGAAAATTTGTCAAAAAGTAAAACAAAGATAATTTTATTCTAAATTAATAGATTCAATAGGACAATCTAGGTTTTATGTAAAAGCTAATTTTTACATGATTAAAAAATATGACAATTTAGGTAAATTTACATGTTTACAATTTCAAAGCACTAGCAATTTCTGCCAAAGGTGTTGTATTGTAAAACCAAATTTTTAAATCTGGCATCTTTAGCTCGTACTTGTTGCCTTTCCTAGTTTTTACAGCCCTTGGTTGGAAGATCTGGTGTACATTTAGTTTTGATTATTTTAAAAAATGAATACCCTAAATCAAATCTATTTTTTTATTCTGGATCAAATGACGACTGGATCAGATGTTGCCTGGATCAAATAGCAACTGGATCAAGTGTTGACTGGATCACTTGTCGCTGGATCTCATGTCACTGTATCATTTGTCGTAGGATCAAATGTCGTGGTGCCCCTATAACCACCAATATGTTTTCGGTTCTGGAATTTTGTTGTGGACACCCTGTTCCTACACTCTACATATGAAATGCAGTGTATATGTGGTTTATTTGGCAGACTAGGCATGTCTTGGTTTTATATTTTGCTTTCGTTATTGCAGTCAGGAATGCTGATCCAATACAGCTGATCAAACTGTTTTTAAATGAGATGGGAAGGGTATGGGCCCGGGTGGGTGAAGATTTCTGCATTTATATTCTAAGCTAAATCTCCAATCTAGGCCTACCAGCATACATTTTTTCTACTTTTTATTTTCATTATTTCTTGGATGTCCTTAACTAATTCTGTTGACGTCGAGGATAATTTGGAGAAGTTGGAAGCTTGGAGAGGAGTAGGAAAAGGCGTATTGAGGAATTTTTCATTGCTGAAAAAAGCCTACTTGTTCCTCGATTTATAGTCATTTCCGATTTATATGTAAGCTATAGCTGGCAAACGGCTAGACCAAATTGGCTGAGATTTGTTTAAGGGAATCCATGGGTATCCCTCAGGGTAGGCTAAAAAATTTAATTTTTTTTTCAAGATCAACATTTTTTCAATTTTTCTTTTAATTCTACGGGCAGCACTGGGCACTTAATCTTGTAAAATATTAAAACTTTTTCGCTTTTCATGTTCTTAAAAATTTATTTTAAAATTTGTTTGTTTAGGTTTAGTTACTTGTCCAACCCTCACGAGGAGATAACTTTAGAACCAGGAGCAGCCAAGTTCTTGTTTAGTCCTACTAAACAATATATTTCGGTAGGATCACTTTATATTATTTACATGATACAGGGGTAAACATTTTTTTTGGTAAATCCCCAAAATTTGTTCTTAAAAGGACTGTAATCCAAAATGAATCTTCCAGGGGTGTAAACTGTATAATTTCTCGAAAAATCATTCCCTCTCCCTTGAAATTTTCATTTCCCCTCCCTGAAGTTATATAATATATATGCTTGCTTGGAGCGCAATTTTTAGGTTTTAATCGCTTAATTGGGGAAAATGTATGATTTATTTGGGAGATAAATAAATTTTTAGGTTAAAAGTATCTAAACGTAAGTAAGTAAACTTGCCTTTTCTCCAAGCAATTTTAAAAGCAGTTATGTATGGAAAAATTTGTCGTCTTTTGATGTACAATTTCTCATTTTTTCCCCTGATCATTAAAAAAAAATCATTATGAAAAATTGAAAGATCAAATAAAATTTTAAGTCGTTTTCTCTCTAAATGAAAAGTTACAGCCCGGATTTCCTTTTAAGTTTGCCTCGTAGAAATTCTTAGTTTTTTCAACCTTTTTATAAATCATATTTATCTAATTCTCTTCGTTTCCTTTTATCCCTAGAAATTAAAGTTGTGATTTTTTCCAGATTGAAGACGACTGTTTGTTAGATTCTGCGATATTTACAGCAACCCAGGTGAGCATATTATATGATAAACATAAATATAGGCAGTTTATCCACAAAGGATGAGGCTTATATGAAAAACTTCTGAAAGAAAAAATATGTAAGTTAAAAAATGGTAAAGTCTACTTTAAATAGATTTTTTAAATAGAAGCAATGATTTCGAAATGAAAGGATATGAAGTAGATACAATGATTTCGAAATGAAAGGATAAGAAGTAGATGCAATGATTTCGAAATGAAAGGATAAGAAGTAACAAGACTGACTTCTGAGTCGTCTCTGAAGTCTCATCCTTTGTAATTTCCGTCATTGATTCACATTTCACAACGATATTTGTTGCTAAGTAAATAACGTGTTTTTCATTTAGAAATAAATATTATTTAGGGATTGTTTATCTCCGGATCTATCCGTCCTATCCTAGAGGACGCAAGCATTGTACTAAGTTCTCCGAACCTTCCTCAACCTGTCTCAACCACAACTAACAGCAAGGTAACATGACAAAGGTCTTAAATTTGACTTAAAATTAACCCAAATTTTGTTTTGGAAAGATCCCGTAACAAGCAAGACATTTTTTAATATCTCTAAATGCTAAAAGCAGCCGGTTCTATTTTTGAATGTAGAATCATATAGTTGCCTAGGAGCTGGATATTTATGACCAGCAAGGCCGGAGATAAAAAAAAATCGGAGCCGACGCAGGCTACTTCTCAAAGGTTCCAAGCCTCCGGGAAGTGTTATCGACAATCTGACTTCATATCCTGCTCCTAGGCAACTATACGAGTCAATATTCAAAAATAGAAACGGCTGCTATTAATATTTACAGAAATATTACAAAATATCCCCCCCCCTTCCCCTCCGACACCTTCCTTTGTAAAAATATTGTTTGTGGGGAGCATGGGAGTAAATAATGTAGCTGATTTCAAAGCCTGTTTTAAACTTTTTTTGAGAAGTCGTTTTTTAGAAAATGGTGTTTTAAATTTGAAACGTGATGTAAGAAAATGTCATCAAATCTAATAAGTTCACAGTAAAAATGAATAAAAATAATTAGTAATGGGATAATCTAAAATTCTTGATCTCGATATCCACTATGACAACTTTTAAATTTAATGGATAAATGCTTGATTCCTCACTTTTAGTTATTCCTGAAAGGCACTATAAACGCGGGATATCCAAGAGGAATTAGTTAAATTAATGGTTCATAAAACCAAGGTATTGATCTCAGGGCTATAATTATAATCCTAAACAAATTTGATTTTTTATATTCTTGCTTGTTCAGGGAGAATACTCTCTTGGGCCATTCCCTCGGGATATAGAGTTTAGTGTACAGGCTGAAAAAGTGGGATATATACTCACTCAAACAGACAAGAAAGGTTAGTTTAATTCCTCGATACTACCTGCTATAACCAAAATTATTTCAGGTATGTATATTTTCTCAAAAACATTCCCCCTTTTGGAAAATCATTTTTTTAGTATATATGCTTGCGCGGAGTACTCCAAGAAAAAAATTTGGGTTTATTCTCTGAATTAGGGACAATAAATTGTTATTAGGGGAAAAAAATAGGAAAAAAATTTTAAAAAGAATGAAAAAAGTTGCCTTTTGATATATTATTTTTCTTTTTTTTTTCAAAATCAGCTAGTCATTTCTGAAAAAATCTGAAAAATTTACACCCCTTAATTATTTTTAGTAAAATATGTATCAACCGTGTTTTGGTTTATACGAAACTATTATTGATTTTAAAAATGTGCCAGAAAAGCAAAAAACTTGAGAATTCTTAGCATTTTGCTCACATTTTGAAATAAAGGATATTTTGATAAACAAACTGAAGAATTCCGACAAAGTATCTAGCTGGATGAAAATTTAAACATAACTCTATTATAAACCTGGTTAAATATTTAATTTATTAATGCCGTTTCTTTGTTTGTCTGATTGTTTGATTCCAATATACGTCAAAACGTCTGAACCGATCTGGCCCAATTTTGAGGGGCCTCGCGTGACCTGAGGGAAGGTTTATGGCTGATCGAATTTTCAAACATTTGCCTCTTAACAAAATTCGATTTTTAAAAATGTTGAAAATCCGCGAAATTTATTTTATAAAATCCGCGAAATATTTGTTTTTGTTTTACAATGTATTGTTTATAAAGAGAATATGTTCACAAGTGAAAAAGAAAATGGGTGCAAAGCGCTCTAAAGTCTAGTATTTATTATTTATTTAATTTTAATAATATCTAAAAATGTTTAGGGCACTTTTCTGCTAAAAAGTTGGCGTCAGTCGTTGTTAATGTAATGGACTCCAAGGGTGAAAAACTGGCTGGTAAGTTTTTTATTGCATTATTTTATATGCGTTTAAAACAGATCTTCTAAAGATATTTTTGAACTGTCTAGAAGCAGTTGTCAGCTTGTCTGGGGGTGAAGATAACTTCAGGTAACCAATCATTTAGACGTTGAAGATTTACTTTTAAGAGTGTTTATTTCTTTTTTCCCGGCCCCTTTCTAACAAAATGGTTTTCTCCCACTTAAACAATTTTTAAGTTTTTCTTTGAAAATAAAGTTCTTTTTATTTCTCTTTTAAAATTAAAAACAAGTTTTTTGAAAACTTAGTTACTAACTTGGAAAAAAAATTGTCGAAGCTTCGTTGGCCGATTTACAACGGTTTGAATTTTTATTTGAACATTTAAACATTCAGTTTTCTCTGTTGCATGAATCCGAAGTTACTGATTCAGAAAACCGCATTTGAAAATAATAAATTTTAAAATCCACTATCTTTGATTTGTCAGATGTTTAGAGGGTACCATTGTGATTCAGAAATGCCCGTCTATTAATTAAAGGTCACTAAAAATACGTCTAGAATTATACAATACCTTCAAGCTCTTAAAGGGACTGTAGGCGTAAATTCAAGTGGCCTTTCATGCAAAGATTGCAACGCCCAATTTACAAAGTTACCCTTGAAAGCTTTGTCTGATCAAGTAAGAATTAGATATCAATGTTTTTGTTTCTTTAAACTGTTTATTTTCATTTGCGGTTTCTCTTCAAAGCAGTGGAGAAACTCACTAAAAAAAACACTTCAAGTCAGGAAAACGACAATATCTTCCACACTTGTGATCAGATTAAGGTTTGAAGGGTACCGTTGTAAATCGTGCATTGCCAACTTGAATGGTCACTTGAAACTACTCTTACAGTCACTGTAATCTTTCTAAATGTAATATTATTGATCTTGAGTTAAATATTTGTGATGTTGCAGGACCAACCAGCAGACAGGTAGCAACGGTACCTTAAGCTTCCTCGCTCTCTCTCCTGGAGAATACTTCATCAAACCTATGCTCAAGGTACATTTTCTACTCAGGAATTTGTGGAGGGGGGAGGGGGGCTTAGCACCCCTGGGGCCTGAAATTTCCCTTGATTCCAAGATTTTACTGATCCAGGGAGGGACTGAGCCCGCCCCTCCCCCCTACCAGTGCACCTTTTGTACCGTCTTACTAAATTTCGACAAAAAAAAAATAAGCTTCAACTTTGTATTAAATGGGGTTTGGGGAAAATATTTACTCTTATAATTTTGCCATGTGTGGTAGTGAATTTTAGACACACGTCCCCCACTTCAGATATTTGGAGAAAAAGTCGAAAGGATTTTTGCCTCAACAGAGCATGTTATTATTTTGTGGAAAAACTTGTTTAGAGAAGTTATTTCCTGCAGAAAACTTATATATTTATCGTAAAATGACATTTTTACTTTCTCAGGAATACGAGTTCAATCCCAAGAGTAAACTTATCACAGTGAAAGAAGGAACGGAAGAAGTTGTTGAAATAGTTGCTACAAGAGTAGCATATTCTGCTACAGGGGTACTCACTGGGCTTAAAGGTAACAATTGCTACAAGAGTAGCATATTCTGCTAAAGGGGTACTCACTGGACTTAAAGGTAATAGTTGCTACAAGAGTAGCATATTCTGCTAAAGGGGTACTCACTGGACTTAAAGGTAATAGTTGCTACAAGAGTAGCATATTCTGCTACAGGGATACTCACTGGACTTAAAGTTAATAGTTGCTACAAGAGTAGCATATTCTGCTACAGGGGTACTCACTGGGCTTAAAGGTAATATTTGCTACAAGAGTAGCATATTCTGATACAGTGGTACTCACTGGACTTAAAGGTAATAGTTGCTACAAGAGTAGCATATTCTGTAAGTCCTCATTTATCTTTCCCGATTGAGAGTAACACACCCCACACATTAGATTAGTCTCATCCTTCAAATATACAGGGTGTCCCAATAAACATGGGAATTCAGTGATGAATTCGATATCGTAAACTTGAGTAAACTTGTCCGCCTTCACTGTTCATCTTGCGGAGACGTATAGACACATCTTTGCAGTCTTTTACCCTTTTCATAAAATAAACTTCAGCAGACATAACAATATTATGGCTTTTGAAATTAGCTATTACAATGCTAATTGATAACAAAGACGATATCGAATTCGTCACTGAATTCCCATGTTTTTGGGACACCCTGTAGCTGTGAGGTTAGTAAATATGGTAAATATTGGTGATGAGTAATTTTGTACCTTATAGGATTCGTGGATTGGTACCCAACTGCTCCTACAGGATGGGTCTTAAATCCTGCAAATCAAACTCACATGTTGAGAGAACTATCCCAATGTCTTAGACCTTAGATATTTCAAATTATGAATTTCGTTGGATCAAGGAATCGTAAGTTTAAAATATTAAAAGTTTACACCAAGTTATAGAGATATAGGGATTGGAACATTTGAGCTTGTGAAAAAGACACAATTACTTTATGAAAATTGTGCTGAAACTTTTAAGTTCAGTCACCAGCATTTGCACAACGATTTATGATGCATGTTAACTTGAGTGACTAGTACATGAAGTACATCGTCCCCTCAATTCTAATTCTGTAGAAGTTCTCCATGGATTTACATAAACAGATCGACAATGCTTATTTTTTTTTTTTAAAGATGATAAGATAATAAATGTTTTCTTTCTTGTGACTTAAACTCAAAGATAACTATTTGGGTTTGTGGACGTTCTTAAAATGATTAATGCTTCAAATGTGAAATTATCTTATCACCATTTCTTCTTCGTCCATTATAAAACTCGAAAGTTTCGCGGATTTTCCTATTTTTGTTGGTGACATGCAGAATCTATAGTTAATCTAAATATATATATAGCTGTAATCAATGTTTGTATGTCCGATCATGACTCATAAACCGCTGGACTCCCTGGACAGATTTGCCTCAAATTTTGATTTGGGAGCTAGGGAGTACGGGAATGTTCTTATAGCTTGATTTTGACATTCTAAGTTGAGTTGGTCGATTTTATTAGTAAAAAAGGTAAAAACCCTAATTTACAACCATGAGCGCGCGCGGGTAAACGGCGGGAGTAACTGAGTACCCTGGGTTTTCTAGCTAATACAAATATATATATATAGTAAGATTCTCTTTTGGGAAACTATAGGAAAGGCAGTGTACTGCCGATTAGCTAAAGCAATTATTGTGTATTCATCTATTTCAAAACTTAAACTTATTGAGCATCAAATATCAGAATTTCTTTGGGTTTATGAGGATAAGAAATGTTATTTAAACACAAAAAAAGGCTGTTAATACGAATGATAACTACAATTATTGTTGAATAAATTTGAGAAGAAGAAGATTAACATTTTCCTACTTAATTAGCAGAATCTCCCCTGACTATGTTTTAATTTAAGAAATTGTTGATAGATACTTAAATACAGTAAACATCTCAAACTAACTATCAGTGAGTTTAGGGGAGTTAGAAGATTTGCAGAGGCTGTTCAAAATACTTGATTTTTCTAATTTATGTTCCTTGATTTAGAATTGGTTATTATAAGGTTAGATACAGGGTGTCCATCGAAACATGACAGTTGGTGAATAATTTAAAATGTCTTCTTCCATAATTAAGTTGTTAAATACCAAAGAATTATAAGAATATTTCATGGTAGTCATATTTATAGTAAAATTGAGTTCAAAGTAAAATATATTTTAGTAAAAGATTTGAAAGAAAAAAATGCAAAAAGTCTTTAATTTCTATTACAGTATAGGAAAGGAAATTCCAAATGGAAAGTAAATTCCAAATTATATTTTATACTTACTGTCATGTTTCATGGGACACCCTGTACTATACGCTCCAAGATTGTATTGCATCCGCCCAACGTTACATCCGTCCAACGATACTTCGGACCCACCCGCACTTGGGTTTTTAGCAGATTGTATAGCTGCTGTTGGTCCGATGTGTACCCGACATGCAGTTTATCGGAAAAAGTTGAAAAAAGATAGTGTATCCGACCTTCTGTAGGTCGGTTGCACACTTCTGTAGGTTGGATGAAGACCTTTTTTTTAGCGCGGAAGCTGGATTTGTAGGGAAGATGAAAAACCGTAGTAGGTCCACATAAAACTAACTACAACGAAGCTGTCTGTATCGGATTACTTTCAATCGTTTTTTGATCTCTCATTCGAAATCTGTCAAAAATAGCGTTAGAGATTACATATACTTAAATATTTGAAATACACAGCCCAACAACAAAGGATAAAATAGCAGATACAAAAAATCTACATTCAAAAGGTAAAAATGTGTTCTAAAGTTAATACTAACTTTAGTTTCAACCAGGACCTTTAGTTTAACGTGGGTCGGATACACAATTTTTGTAGGTCGGATGCACAAATTTTATAGGTTGTATGAACATTTTTTGTAGGTCGGATGCACATATTTTATTGGTCGGATGAATTAGGTAAGGTTAAGTCTGGGCAGAGCGCTGTGGCTAGGGGGCCGAGCAATGCGTCCACATTATCAAATTGACAAAGTGTTAGCCGATATGTGAGAAGGTTAGGTTAAAACAATTTCTGGGCCGAGCACTGTGGCCACATTTATCAAATTGAAAAAGTGATAGCCGATCCGTGGGGTTAGGCTAGGTTAAGACGATTTCTGGTTAGCATATTCTGCTAAAGGGGTACTCACTGGGCTTAAAGTTAATAGTTGCTACAGGAGTAGCATATTCTGCTACAGGGGTACTCACTGGACTTAAAGGTAATAGTTGCTACAAGGACAGCATATTCTGCTACAGGGTTACTCACTGGACTTAAAGGAAATAGTTGCTACAAGAGTAGCATATTCTGCTACAGAGGTACTCAGTGGACTTAAAGGTAATAGTTGCTACAAGAGTAGCATATTCTGCTACAGAGGTAATTACTGGACTTAAAGGTAATAGTTTCTACAAGGGCAGCATATTCTTATAGCAGTACGTTTAAAACTAAACTGTAAATTTTGTTAGGGGTTAGATTTCAGGGGCTTCTTAAAAAGTTTAATTTAAACAAAATTGTTCAAGATTATTTTGAATTGTAGGCGACCCTGAACCAGGGGTAACTATTGAAGCTGTTGGGGTAGAAGAGGTTTGCCAAGGACATCAAGAAGAAGCAGTGTCTGGACAAGATGGAAAATTCAGGTTAATATTTCATTATTTAAAATTCGGTGTTAATGATCTCCAAACCTCGCAGAGTAAAAAAATAGGTTTTATTTCAACATTTTTGAAAATATATTTCGGTCGGGGTTTGCCCTCTTTAAGTTCTAACGATACAATAACCATCAAAATCAATATTGAAAAATGTAAAAAAAATCCCACGAAAATAAAAATAAAACTTTACAAAAAAACTTAAAGAATATTTATTTATTTTCAACACGTTTACGAAAATAAGATTTCAAACAAATGTTTGGCCCCTGGTAAGCACTTCCTTTAAAAAAATCTCTTGAAAAGTTTTTTTAGTATTTAGGACTGTTTGCGCGTAGTGAAAAGAATAATAATAAGCGTTTTCGCCGAATTCGAGAAATACTTTATTTTGGGTGACAATAAGCAGGAAAAGCTTGCCAGCTGGTAACCGTTTTTTTAATTTCACTTTAAGTCCTCATTTATCTTTCCAAATTGAGAGTAACACACCCCACACATTAGATTATTCTCATCCTTCAAATATAGCTGTGAGGTTAGTAAATATTGGTGATGAGTAATTTCGTACCTTATAGGATTCGTGGATTGGTACCCAACTGCTCCTACAGGATGGGTCTTAAATCCTGCAAATCAAACTCACATGTTGAGAGAACTATCCCAGCTATGAAGGCGATTAAGGTCTGTATTATTTTACTTTGTCATGATTTGATTTGATTTGATTTGATTTGATTTGTCAATGGGTATCGTTAGATTTTTTTCTTTCGTTTTTTGAGACTGGGTCATTCAAAATCTGAGGAAAATCCATGACTTCCGTGTGTGGCTGACTTGATAAATAATGCAGATCTGTAAACTGAATCCAGTTGCAAAAATCAATTTTAAAATTTTATTATTTGATATGAGTTGAAAATTACGAGCCTGGGGTTTATACTATGCTTTAATTTTTATAGTTATAGTATTTATTTTCTAACACAAAATACAAAATAATATTGTATGGTGGTTCAGCTTAAAATAAAACACAAAAGAAAATTTCTTATTAGCCAATTAAAAATATAATGTTTGATAATTTTGTTTTGATCGTATTTGTTGAACACTCAACTAAGTATATATTCATTGTGCATTTACAAGTAGATAATTAGTCAGCACTCAAATAATCAAAACATTTTCAGGAATGCATTCATTTAACTTATGAATACATATTCAACAAAAGTAGCAATGTATTCTCGTTGACTGTAGTAGACTTTGACATCCACCATTAACAGAGGGTGTGAACCCAGTCTTGTTGACTGTAGTAGACTTTGACATTTACCATTAGCAAAGGGTGTGAACCCATACTCGTTGTCTATAGTAGACTTTGACATCTACCATTAGCAAAGGGTGTGAACCCGTACTCGTTGACTGTAGTAGACTTTGACATCTACCATTAGCAAAGGGTGTGAACCCATACTCGTTGTCTTTAGTAGACTTTGACATCTACTATTAGCAAAGGGTGTATACCCATTCTTGTTGACAGTAAAAAGGGTTGCGGCCCTAGTCCTGAATATATTTGCAAGCCTTTTGCATGCTTTCTCTCAGAGAGAGGAGGTGTTGACACCTCAATTGCTTTCTACTTTTGATCTAGTTTAAAGAACTTGTATTCTTTTAACTGACCTAGTCATTTTTTAAATTCGGTTATTGATTTGTTGACAAAATTATTTATTATCTGTTGGTCGGTTGGTTAGTTATTTGCCTGAAAAAGTTAGTAAGTTGGCTAATCAGTTGATTTATTGTTTGATCGAATGATTAAATGAGTTATTGATTGAATGATTGTAGATATGGCTGATTGATTGATTGATTGATTGATTGATTGTTCAGGTGGAGGAAGGTGATGTATCTGGGGTTGAATTAATCGCACTAAGACCGAGGACCACCATGGATGTCAGTCTTGATTGATTGATTGATTGTTCAGGTGGAGGAAGGTGATGTATCTGGGGTTGAATTAATCGCACTAAGACCGAGGACCACCATGGATGTCAGTCTACTTGTTAAGGTAAATCTTGTTAAACTAGGCTTTTAACTTTTTTTAATTGTGCAGCTCTCTATCGATGGGAGGAAGGCCAACCACATCAATCTCTAGTCCGAACCACATTCTCCTCATTTTCTCGTCCTGGTGTAGAATGCCGCAAAAAATTCCAAGTTTATAGAACTTCAATCTTTTTTGTTAACTTTAGTGAAAACCATAGAATTTTTCCGGGTGGTTCCATGGGAAAAATTATAGGCAGAGGTATGCCGAATATTTTGCTATTTTTTTCATATCACGAAGGTTAGCCATTACGGAGGCAGAAGAGATTTAAGTTTTACCTAAATAAAGTTTGACATCATTCTCATGGGTTTGAAGATTCCAACATTATATAATCATTGCAATACTTTAGTCCATCCATATTTTATGCCCTAACGTGGCCAGATTTTTAAAAAATAGTTTTATCTTCAAGAATTGGAAACTTTTTAACACAAAATAATCGAAGGACGAGGATTCCGAGGTGGTTCGGACGAGAAAATGAAGAGAATGTGGTTCGGACTAGAGATTGATGTGGTTGGCCTTCCTCCCCTCCTCTATCTGTGAAGCATCTTCTCTTTGTACACTATAAAACAATAACAAAAAAGAGTTTGCGGATTTGTTAAAAATTTTCACGCATTTTCAAAATTCAAAAATCAAAGACACAAATTTTTGTAATTTTGAGCATCCATATTATGGATGCTCAAAATGGATTACATAAACCTTCCCTGGGGTCATGTGAGGTCCCACGCAAAATTTGGGCCCAAATGGTTCTGCCGTACTTACGTTTAATGGATACAAACGGACAAAGAGACAAGCAAAGTATAGATATAGATGTAAATGTGAGGTAGAGAGTGGCAAAATTGTACTGATCAAACAGATTTTCATAAAAATGCAATGAATTTATCTTAGATTTTTAAGACTTTAACTGAAAAAAAACCGTTCACTAGGTGAAGAAGGACAACATCAAGAACGTGAAGGCTAAGCTCTACTGCTCTAACTCCGACTCTCCCCTGCACACTGTGAAGTTGGACACCATCAAGTTTGTTATATTCCCGTCTATACCTGCTGATGGGTCAACTTGCTCCATTCATGTTGAGGTAATGTAATTTTAACTCTTTTGTTATTTGACTTCAGGGTGGGGGGCATAATTATTTTTTGTTTCATACTTATACTTCACTTTAGCTGGAAAGTTTTTCTGTTTTTTTTTCAACTTGCCTTTTTAAACTTACCTCTAAGTTCGTTTCCGCACATACATTTCTGACATTCTGGTAGGGGGAGAACTTAGTTTTGAATATGGGGGCAAGGCCGGGAAGATTTTCATCAAAATATATAGGCTTATTTTGACTTAACACTGTTTGTTAACTGCTTTATTTTTATTCAACAAAAATATTGCCGAAAATTAAGCGAGTCCCATTTATCCAGCCGATAAGCATTTTTACTATTTTTTTAGTTCTGGATCAAAATCCAGTTTTTAAAATTTATAAAACAAAACACAAAATTATGATTTTGTAGGCGAATTCTATACATGTGAACCAACGAGTTAAGGGGCAGAAAATACAGTTTGTAGCAGACAAACCCTTCGATCATTACACTGTAGAGTAAGTTTTATTAAATACTAGAAATTGTAAAGTGGGACCTAAAAAGCCATGGAATATGAAGACGACAGTTAAACTCTAGTTATAATTTCAAGAAGGCCTTTGACAATTAAACACGGCTATTGGTCTACAGACCCATTTCACGCGTAGAATACACAAAAGATTGCTTATATGTCATATTCCTATTCCACAGTTTTATGGGTCCCACTGTATTGGTTTCACCTCCTCAAGAAATAAAATTTAATTTTTAACCAACTTCATCAAATAATTACTAACAATCAAAATTAAAATTGATTCATGAAGCCTAAGATGATTGAGCATCAAAACATAATTCTAAAATGCAGTGCTTAGGATCCGGATCCGTTGGATCCTCAACATTTTGGCTTCCTGGATCCGGATCCAAGGGGAAAATATCAACCAAAAACTAAAACAAAAATATTTTGCTCTTAAAGCCCAAATCCGAATTGTTAAAAAAGGGTATTATCAAAAATTTTCTAATCTCTAAATAGTTTCAGTATAAGATTAACCAAAAAAAGAAGAAAAATAATTTGAAAATTCTTTTGTTGAGAAAATCAATGAAATAATTGATTTTAAGTTTGGATGTTGAGAGTAACTTAGCCAGAGGTGAGATGGGTCAATCAAGTTGGGCGACCCTTCCTCTTCTTGTTCTCCTGGTGACAGCTGTTCTTCATTGGGAGAAGGTAGAAACAATTTTTGATTGAAGAGATTTCATTCATTTTAGGGTTGGGCGTTGTTCCTGGTGAACGATTGTTCACTCACTGAACGAACGGAACGAGCGATTTAAAAAAAAAGTAGGAACACGCCCAGTCCCAAGGTCTTAGCGTCGTTCTTCGGGAACGATAGTTCTTTCACGGGAACGAACGGAACGGAATGAACTCTTTCAAGAAAGTAGAAACACGCCCAGCCCCAAGGGCTAAGCGTCGATCATTGGGAACGATAGTTGTATCACGGGAACGAACGGAACGGAACGAACAATTTTAATAAAGTAGGAACACGCCCACTGCCCAGTCTCATTCATTTTAAAGACCTTTCTGCTTTCAACCTGTAGAATGTGTTTGATAGATTTTGTAGATTTTTGAACAATTTATATTTTTTAATTTGTTTAGGTTAGTCCATATATGGCTAGCCTTGGAGAACAGGTTGAGAGGACAGTCATGAACCGGAGGCCAAGACCAACCCACCAGAGGTCAGAGGAAGCCGAGATGTCCAAGGAGGATATAGACAAGGCTGTTAAGTTTGTGGAGGCCAGTACTAGGAAGAAGAAACCTCGCAAGATCTAAGCGAGGCCATTTATTAAAATATTGGTTCTTTCACGAAACTTAACACCCCAGGGGTGTATATTTCACGAAATTGAACATCCCAGGGGTGTATATTTCACGAAATTGAACATCCCAGGGGTGAATATTTCACGAAATTGAACACCCCAGGGGTGTATAATTCACGAAATTGAACACCCCAGGGGTGTATATTTCACGAAATTGAACACCCCAGGGGTGTATATTTCACGATATTGAACACCCCAGGGGTGTATATTTCACGAAATTGAACATCCCAGGGGTAAATATTTCACGAAATTGAACACCCCAGGGGTGTATATTTCACGAAATTGAATGAATTTTCACAAAGGGGTGGGGCAATGGCAATAAAAATTATTTTCGGGAAAATATACACCCTGGAACATCCTTGGTTTTAGTTATACTCAGCATTTCGATCTCTTTAATTGTTATTGAAATTATTATGCAATTAAACCTGTTTTTCTTAATATCTTTTTAAATCTTTTGTTAAATCAAATTCAATAAAATTAATTAATTTCATCCAACTAGAGAACATTGTTAAAACCTAGTTATGTGTGTACACTGTTCAGTGTGCGATCTTACATTTTTATTATTACTTCCATCATACAGTGGTAGGCGATTATATCAATATAATAAAGACGACTTTATTATTTTATTTTTGATTGTTAAAAAGTTTTTTTCGAATGACAAGTTTACAAGTAATCAAAGAGAAGCTTTTTTAATTGAGAGCTTCTATTGGCCTCTTTATTTATTTGAATCCATGCTTTTAATAGCTTGGTTAAAATCAAATTTGAAATCAAAAGTCGTCTTAGTTGTATTCATATAATCGCCTACCTTACCAGTGTAGTATTGAAAGTAAAATTTTCAAATGTATTTCAAGTAACCCTCACGCGGCACATGCCTGATTCACGAGGGTAATATTAATAATAATATGGTAGGATGATCATTTTAGGTACTTTTAAACTGTTTGAGAAGAAGTTTCTCTGCCTGAGTCTTTTGATCCTAAACTTACTAGTTTCTTAATTCAAATTAGAGCTAGGATGTATATGTATAGTATTCACCCGTCTACAAGCCGATGATGAAAATTATTTCTAGGGCGGACTACGAAAGTAAATCTAAAATCAATGGATTTTGTCGTTTTTCTGGTTCGTTGTAATATGTATATTTTCTCAACTTCCTTCATTGTTTCTGCTGCAGAAATCTACCAATTTGTAAGAGAATTGCGATTTAAAATCAACAATTTTCGGGCTGAAAAACTAGGATAGCTGATTTTTTTTTCAACGGTTTCATGGTTATTCTTGAAACGAAGGGTCACTTTTATCTATACTTTTTAATACACTAATCGTCTCTTTAAACAAAATTTTGCGGGGACATAAGACTTAGGCACCATCTGAATTTTTGAATTTTGAATTGCCCTATTTGCTAGGCAAATGAATTGAGCCACTCTAATTTTCTGATCCTTATTTCTTATTTATGTCTTAGACCTTAGATATTTCAAATTATGAATTTCGTTGGATCAAGGAATCGTAAGTTTAAAATATTAAAAGTTTACACCATAATCTCTATGGATTAGAACATTTGAGCTTGTGACAAAGACTAAATTACTGCATGAAAATTGTGTTCAGAAACTTAAAAGATCAGGCACCAGCATTTAAAGTGTGTATTTATTTTTAAACGTTTTTTTTAAGATCTAAATGTTTATTTTGTAAAATTATAACATAAAGCATTATTGGTTTAAAAATATGTATATATTCTAAATATACATGTTTATAATGACATTTTACATTTATATATATTTTACACTGTCTATTAAACAAAGATTTGTTCTCGAATGTGCGTGAACCAAATCACATCCTTTCATGCTGGAATCTTTTGAGACAAAGCAGGTATAGAAATCCCCCACTTTTGCTCTTGTTCTTACACTTGTCAGAAGTACAATATCCAAACATACTGTAGGAACTGGATGAGGGTGCTAGGTTAGATTCAGTGGTAGATTTGTTGGATCCATGAAATAAAGCTCCTACTGTAGAGGAACCATCACCAGGGGCTCCTACTGTAGAGGAACCATCACCATGGGCTCCTACTGTAAAGGAACCATCACCAGGGGCTCCTACTGTGGAGGAACCATCACCAGGGGCTCCTACTGTAAAGGAACCATCACTAGGGGCTCCTACTGTAGAGGAACCTGCACCAGGGGTTTTTAGTTTTGAAAAACTTGGTCCTTCTTTACCGAAACCTGCTCTGTGGGTTCTAAAAGCTCAAAGGGAAAACTGGTCTCAGAGCTCTGGATCCTGGAAGATTTCCTCTATGGGTTCCTAATCCAGTAGAACCCGCTCTAGGGGTTCCTACGCCATCAGAAACTGCTCCAAGTTTTCCTCCTTGACCTGCACCTGTTCTTTTGGATCCTAATTGGCAGAAATCTTCCCTGCTGGTTCTTTCTTTGGTTAGGACCATTCTAGGGGCTTTGGCTGTACTGCTCCAAGGTCAGGAACTGCTGCAGAAACTGCTCCGGGGGTTCCATTTATAGGCCTTAGGATTTCTATTCTTCTCTTTATCCTTCTCCGCCGGTTTCGATTCTGAGTTTGTGTTTTTTGTTTCTCCTGGTTCCATCCTGATGACAGAGAATCCCCGGACAAGTGAAGAGGTGAATCTGTGAGTGTGAAAAACTCCTGACCTCCCCAATACCACAGGTTTAGTGTAGCATCTAGGCCTGATAGAGAATACTGATGATAAAAGTCTAGGATCCTTTGTCTGAGTTCCATAGTAACCGTAAGGTGTAATTCAACTGATTCAGCTGACAGATCGTACTGCAGCCGATATATGTATACATGTCGACAATAGAAAGGGTGGGGTGGAACGTTTATCAATACCACACAAGACACAACAAATGTGAAGTGCAAACAGACCATCAAATGCCCTTCAATATTACTTTATTGTCGTCTCCCTAATCTAAAGTTTTCTGGTTATCACTGTATGTGTCCTCGTACATAATTATTGAGTGCTATTTTTATTTGCACAACGATGATAACAGATATAACGTGATTGACTAGTACATCGTCCCCTCAATTCTAATTCTGTAGAAGTTCTCCATGGATTTACATAAACAGATCGACAATGCTTATTTTTTTTTTTTAAAGATGATAAGATAATAAATGTTTTCTTTCTTGTGACTTAAACTCAAAGATAACTATTTGGGTTTGTGGACGTTCTTAAAATGATTAATGCTTCAAATGTGAAATTATCTTATCACCATTTCTTCTTCGTCCATTATAAAACTCGAAAGTTTCACGGATTTTCCTATTTTTGTTGGTGACATGCAGAATCTATAGTTAATCTAAATATATATAGCTGTAATCTCTGTTTGTATGTCCGATCATGACTCATAAACCCCTGGACTCCCTGGACAGATTTGCCTCANCATCATTTTAAAGGTCCATATATATATATATATACATTTAAGGTTTTTTACTTTTAGAATGCTTGGCAAGAATATTAGATACTTCAGTATTGCTATAATGTTGTCTTCCCATTCCATTGTTTTCTGGTTATCACTGCATTAGGTAAGGTTAAGTCTGGGCTGAGCGCTGTGGAGGGGGGCCGAGCATTGCGGCACATTTATCAAATTGACAAAGTGATAGCCGATCCGTGGGGTTAGGCTAGGTTAAGACGATTTCTGGGCCGAGCGCTGCATCCACATTTATCAAATTCTTCCCATTCCATTGTTTTCTGGTTATCACTGCATTTTTCGGATTTAAATGAAAGAATTTATTTCGTTAAAAGTATCTTTGGAGAAAATATTTTTTGATTTTTTTCAACATTTTTCGAAATTGATTTGAACTCCTTGAACCCCCATGATGAAAAATTACTGAGATGTAACACTTTACTGTACTTTAAGATCTCAACAGGACGATGATTTATTGAGAATTAAAAAAAAGAACATTTTTCTACTAGAATTTTAGCTGTACTTCCGGCATATATAGATTGAATCCTAAATTCTTTTTTGAAATTCTAGTTATGTCTCTCAAAAATTTGTAAGTTGTACTTAAATATAATATGTGTTTCAGTGTTTCAATATTGATGTGGGTAAAAATGTTTTGGTTGCGAAAAACCATTTTGAAATTTGAAGAAAATCCGCGTACATCTTTTTAATTGAAATAACATAATTAAGATGAAGGTTTCCCCCTATTAATTAATTAACAAATAGAGAAGATAACAGTTGAGGGAATATTTTCACATTAAATAATTCTAGAAACTTAAATTCTGAAAGGGCATGAAAGAGCTTATGATAATGTTGAAAGCTCTCCAGCCATTAATCTAAAAATCATATTATTTAAACTTTTTACATTTTTGTAAACATCAGCATTCTCAAGATGAAAAGTATGTACATCAATCAGTTTTCTTATTTTCTAATATATCCTTCTCTTTCCTTTCTTCACTCTTTTTTACCTTTCCATCCTTCTCTACCTTTCTATCCTTCTCTACATTTCTATCCTTCTCTTTCCTTTCTTCACTCTTTTTTACCTTAACATCCTTCTCTACCTTTCTATCCTTCTCTACATTTCTATTCTTCTCTACCTTTTTATCCTTCTCTACCTTTCTATTCTCCGCTACCTTTATATCCTTCTCTACCTTTCCATCCTTCTCTACCTTTCTATCCTTCTCTACCTTTCTATCCTTCTCTACCTTTCTAACCTTTTCTATCTTTCTATCCTTCTCTACCTTTCTATCCTAATCTTTACCTTTGTATCCTTCTCTACCTTTGTATCCTTCTCTACCTTTCTATCCTTCTCTTCCTTTCTATCCTTCTCTATCTTTCTATCCTAATCTTTACCTTTCTATCTTTCTCTACCTTTCTATTCTTCTCTACTTTTCTATCCTTCTCTACCTTTTCATACTTCTCTACCTTTCTATCCTTCTCTACCTTTCTATCCTTCTCTACCTTTACATCCTTTCTCTACCTTTCTATCCTTCTCTACCTTTCTTCTCTACCTTTCTATCCTAATCTTTACCTTTCTATCCTTCTCTACCTTTCTATCCTTCTCTAACTTTCTTCTCTACCTTTCTATCCTAATCTTTACCTTTCTATCCTTCTCTACCTTTCTATCCTTCTCTACCTTTCTTCTCTACCTTTATATCCTTCTCTACCTTTCCACCCTTCTCTACCTTTCTATCCTTTTCTTACCTTTATTCTCTACCTTTCTATCCTAATCTATACCTTTTTATCCTTTTCTACCTTTCTATCCTTCTCTACCTTTCAATCCTTATCTACCTTTCTATCCTAATCTTTACCTGTCTATCCTTCACTACCTTTCTATTCTTCTCTACCTTTCTATTCTTCTCTACCTTTCTATCCTTCTTTACCTTTCTATCCTTCTCTACCTTTCTAACCTTCTCTACCTTTCTTCTCTACCTTTCTATCCTTCTCTACCTTTCTATCTTTCTCTACCTTTTTATTCTTGTCTATTTTTCCATCCTTCTCTACCTTTATATCCTTCTCTACCTTTCTATCCTTCTCTACC